ATGACCTCCAATTGAGCTCTGTGATGACCCCAAGTTCACCTCTGTAGCCTGACGTGTCACAGATGACCTGCGTGATCTCCAATAGAGCTCTGTGGTGGCCCCAAGTTGACCTCTGTGACCTGACGTGTCCCAGATGACCTCCAATTGAGCTCTGTGATGACCCCAAGTTGACCTCTGTAACCTGATGTGTCCCAGATGACCTCCGTGACCTCCAATTGAGCTCTGTGATGATCTCAAGTTGACCTCTGTGACCTGACGTGTCCCATATGACCTCTGTAACCTCTAAGTGACCCCTCTGATGACTCCAAGCTGACCTATCTGACCTGATGTGCCCCAGATAACCGCCATGACCTTCAATTGAGCTCTGTGATGACCCCAAGTTGACCTCCGTGACTTGACGTGTCCCAGATGACCTCCGTGACCTCCAATTGAGCTCTTTGATGACCTCAAGCTGACCTGTGTGACCTGGCGTGTCCCAGATGACCCCCAATTGAGCTCTGTGATGGCCCCGAGTTGACCTCTGTAACCTGACGTGCCCCCAAGTTGCCTTCTGTGACCTGACGTGTCTCAGATTACTTCCGTGGTCTCCAATTGAGCTCTGTGATGACCCCAAATTGACCTCCGTGACCTGAAGTGTCCCAGATGACCTCTGTAACTTCCAATTGTGACCTCAATCTCCAACTCTACTAACTCTCTGTGACCTCATACTCTCTTAACTCATTTCTTCTAAAGCATCGCTTCTAGATGCCCTATAGCGCCACGAATCTCCTGTGATCGATCCCAAAATTCATGGCAACTAACGTGAGCGTTAGCAACCACAAGTCACCCAGTTGAGACAAAGCTTCAGAATCAGAGAACATGCTTGAACTGGCTGTCTCATAAGCTCGCAAACCAGAAGGGCGAATGTTCCTTTATGCTTGATAGAGTTTTCGACCTTACTGACGCTTACTACGGGATCAGCTGATCGTGTAGCCTTTTAAATTCTCGAGTAAAGCGGGTATTTAAACCTTGTCGCAGCTACGTTCTGTCGTATCCTCCGACAAACCCCTCTTTCCTCAACATCCCTCCTTTTTCGCTACGACACAACTTGCGACGGGACATGTGTCGTAACTTGCGACGTGTCGTAGATGGACTTGCGACGCCCTGGATCCCCCCGGCCTAAATGTAGAAGTGAGAACAAGCTAACACACAACTTTGAATGTTTATCGGCTGTAAATTTCCATGTAAAACAATGCGTATTCGCCCGGTCGTCAAACCGACATAAGATGCCGTTTTGTAGCCGTAAATGTCGCTGTAAAGCTGGTGAATATCCGTATTAGTCACCAATTACGCAGAAAGGCCGGGGTGCCGGAGTCTGGCGCCCGGCTGGCGGGCGACATTCAGGCCGCTGCGTGCAGGGCGCCGTTCCTCGAGCTGACGGTTGGCCGGGTCGGTGGATCGCGGGAAGCGCCGGCTGACGGGGAGAGAGCGGCGCGCGGTGACGGGGCGCAAAATCACCCCCTCTCAGCTGTCGGCCAACGAGACAGGCGCGCACAGCGCGGAGCAGAGCGGTGCAGCGGTCAGCAGGGAGCTTGACCCAGCGCGTGGACACGTGCGTTGCACACACGCACACACATACACGCCACCGTGACTGACTTGCATTCTTTTCCGTGAATCGGAACCGGCGCTCGGTTCCAGACTCGCTGCTGACCAAACATAGACTGCTGATCAGACACGCACATCATCACGCCCTTCCCGGGCTCTGCCCCCACCCATTTCTCTGTAACGTCGTCTGCCGCGCCCCACTCTGCTGCTGACAGTGCTGACGCCCTTCACGCAGAGTTCCGTCAGAGTTCAATCTGTAATTTTCACTGCAGACGACGAGCGGGACTCGCCCCCCCCCCCATCGCACGTCAGACCCCGGAGCCTTTGAGGTCATCGCCATCAATCGGCCCGGTCCGGTCCGGTCCAGGCAGTAATGACAGCACCGCCGCGAGGGTGCGGACTACCCACGGTCACCTCAGCTCCGGTTCGGTGGACGGGTTGGCCGGTGACGCGGGCTGCCCTCACCGTGTTTGGTGAGCCGACTTTCCGCTCCGGGACCGCGCACCAGCTCGGGACCGATCACAGCACCCCATGGATGGAGTGCCGATACAAAGAGAACATCAATCATGTGCGCATTTTACTGTCACGTCAATGCATGCGCCGATAAGGCACGGCACGTTTGTGTCCAAATCGAATACGATCTGAATGCTAACGATAGCGAGCGGTGCGGACAGTAGTCGGATGACATTGGAGGCCAGACGCCATGGCTTTTCAGCTCCTATTTGTATCCTGTAGTAGATGACGTAAATGATGATGCCGTCTTTTCCATATTGGACGTGCTTTGTGCTTATAAATAAATAATGATAAATAATACAGAGAAGGGTTTTATTTCACCGTCTGGTTCGAGTTGATAAATGAATTCCGATTTAGGACACTAGCTAGGACTAGGAGCATATGAAAGCTAAGCACTGAATGAGCACACTGAACTGATAAGCTATAAGTATTCTCGAATCACGATCCAAACTGGTTCAGAATTGCGCTTATTTTGATCACGTGATAGGCCATGCGGCATATCAAAGTCATCGTTTTAAATATATTGGCGCTTATGAATTTAATTGACGTCTTTAATACCTCAGAGCGTCATCGTAAAGACATCAACCCTGTTCCAAAACGAATCACTGACTTTAAAATAGATGTCACAGCAGGGTCATATACAAATAATTCCGCCTACATTTATCTTCGTATATACTGACTGTTGGTTTGTATGCTATTCGAAGTGCTATGGGAACGAAACATGGAAGGATTGCATATTTTCGAGGATCGTTTTCCTTTATCGAATGTTGCCTATCGCAGCTGCTGCATACACAATACACATGATAGATCATCAAATCGCTTTTGATTGATGAACATGTTACATGTTTCCTTATTCTTAGTCTTGGAGATAACTATGCTTGTGCTTGGGATACGTGCACCTGCATATAGAAAGCGTTATGCAATTTGTTAATTATGCTAACATCATCTCGGCCAGGCATCTGAAGACGTAGATAACCATGAGCGAAATTGAAAATATAGTTGACTTAATTATCAAACCCCACTGGCGAGCCCTGAGCGAGCATTAACGATATTAAGGAAAGCGGTTTTATCGCCGTCCCGACCTTGTCCATAATGAGATAAGCATCTATTTATACCTGCCACCAGTTCCCTACGACCTAGATTCGGTTTCAGCGCTCCATTGACCTTCTGAGCTGCCGGCGGCGCCGGGGGCGGGCAGCTCGAGTGACATCCTGCCGGCGAGGGGCCAACTCAAGCTGTGCCTCTGCCGGCGAGGGGCCAACTGGAGCCGTGCTTTCACCGCCTCCGCGTTCTTCCATCTTCAGTATCCCAATGGGGTGTGCTCTGGCGCCACAGTGAGATGTGCTTGATCTACAGCGGAATGGTAGTCATTGCAGATCATGTTTCTGGAATGCCGTGGGGTGTCTTTGAATATTTGTCGTTCTTAGCACTTACCAGTCGCGGGAAAAAGAAGCTGTACCTAATCTACAGGGTGTCTCAAAAGTTCGTTCACACATTTCCCATGCCAAAAAAGCATATAAGAACCGGCCAAAAGTATAAGGTTTTGGTGTCTGTGTGTACACTAGACAAATATGCATGCTTTGACAACTGATTAAGAAGGTTGGAAACCAACCCCTTTGCTGTATCTCCAAAAATATTTGCCCATACCGATTTTTGTTGCTCCGTCAGCTGCCGGAGGCTGATAAAAGGTTACCAGCTTTCAAGCTCTTGCAGGGGAATCCCCTGCAGTTTCTGCGTCGGATTTAGTTTTGACTAGCTCCCCGGCAACATCTGATTTTCCCTGAAAGCCGACAGCTTGCATCGACACCATTCTTGAGTATTTTGTAGGCATTCTCTGGCGCTAACTTCTTCATGAATGACTGGCGCCGACATCCCAAGCGCCATTTTCCTTTTCAAAACGACCCCAGTCCTGAACAAACGGGAAGTGCCAGGAGTAAATTTTTCGCATCATATGGTAGCAGAATGTGTCGGACATCTGTTTCTCAGACACATTGTGCAAATTTTGCAAATTCCAAGCGCTCGTCATTCCCCATGCCAAGACCTTCGCTCGGTTGCGGACTGTTTTCCTCGGGAGATGTTCTGCTTTGTAAACGGCCCAAACCTGTCCATCGTGTGGTTTTATCGGGATTTTGTGTTTAAAAGAAAATTATTCGCTGCAGATCTGCCTCTTGAAACTTCGTTAGATAAAATTTTACAATAACTGACACTTTTGGAGGGTCAGGTGTCCCTGGCATTGACGATTTTTGTGTTATTGTCCCCAAAAATTAGCGTTATAGATATTATAAACAATTTTAAATTATAATTTGTCTTTATTTTACGATGACCTGCACTTTTTGAAAATGGGTAACCTCTGTCTGTGACCTTCTTGCCAGTTTTCAATAGTTATGACCGCATTTTCAGCTGCTTTCCGGAACACGAGTCTGCTGTCGTGCGAGAGTCGTTCAAAACGCCGTTAGTCTCGCATGGTTTCGTCCTTCAAAAATTTTAGCCACCGTTTTTATGAGATGATCATCATGTTGCACTCATCCTCGCCGACACTTAGCCATGTGTCATTTCCGACTTAACCATTCCCATTACTCCTGAAACAGAGAGTTTCACAACATACCCGACTTTGCAACCTACATTTTCGTGCCTGACCCATGGTCAGAGGTGAACCCTTTTTGTGAGCTCATGAAGGGTCGAATGCACTTGAAAACAATGAGACTGCTTGAGGAAGGTTGTCACCAATGCCCATGCAAAATTTCGACTGTTAATTTCTTGTTGATTCAGAATTATTGACAAAAAAGCATGGCTGGTACCTGTGAACGAACTTTTGAGACACCCTGTATAGTAGCTCCGACTCTGAGAAGCTTTAGATGTATTGGTAGTTCTGTGCAGAGATCAATGCATGTTCGTGTACTCACCAGATATCAGCTGACAGCTTCACAGGCTCGAAGCGCAGGATTTCAGGCGCTGCAAAAGAGGAAAGACAATTAAAAACACACTCTCGATATCTGATCATTTGACGCTTCTCTAATTCACAGACAAAACTTAAGAGGATCAAACGATTCATCAGTATCGCACGGCTGAAAGAATGTCGAACAAGCGAGCGGCAGAGAGCTTCCTTAATCGTATCTCTTTATTAACTCTATCATACTTAGGCACTGGCTCCTGCAGAGGAGTACTGCATCCCTTTCGTTTCGTGCACCGATCAAAGTCTGGTTTTGAGCGGACCGAACTAGCGCCGAGACGAATGATATCAGCCTCCGCGTACACAGTTCTCTGCACCTTGCAGAGTGCGGCTCCCGAGTGCCGCATGTCTAGATGCGTAGACGTGCATTGAGTATCTGTCCGATATCGCTGGGCTAAATCGGGACCGGTGGTATCGAGCGCGTGTCAAGTGGCAGGCAGTGGTCGCGTCCGGACGTCATCTGCGCACGGTGCATCGTTCTGCATCGCTCTCCATTCGCCTTGCACCGTTTCCCATTGCATACAGTGCCTATCGCAAAGCGCACATTGCGGCACGCGCTATCTGGGACATCACGTGCGCGTGGCCCGCCTCAGTTGCCGGCCGGAATTTTCTCACTAATGCACGTATTGTGTCGGTGAAGACGGAGGCCGCATTCTCTCTGTCGGTCCATTGAGGCGGAACTGGCGCCGTACGGTTAGAACCAGTTCTGCCGGAGACAGCAGGGAAAAACTGTCGCTTATCAATACAGACGTACATACATCGCTGCCGGATCTGCCGGGCGCCAGTCTCTACCTTCGCCGGGACGGATACGAATTTTGATTGTCTGGCCGGTCCCAATTATTCTGTACTTCCCGATTATGGACGTTGTAAGCCTAACTTCACGTTTGTGAAGCATACCCATCACATCGATGAATACCTGATTTTGCCGATTCACGACTGATTTCTATCCTCCTTTTCTGGGGAAACCCTTTACGTTTTCAACTTCAATGCCATCCCTCGATCCACAGGCCTTCGCAAAAGACTAGGAAACAGGGGAAGGCCAGGCAATGATGCCATATTTCGACGTATGTACGTCAGGGTCAGTCATACTGCGTCACGTCACGTGTGGTAGGGCCTCTCCCTTCTTCAGTGATGCCCGCAAGCCGACTCGGCACATACCTTCTCGGCATTCTAGCTGTCGCTGATGTATGATGTCTTTCCTCACCTAGGCGCATCTAATTCATCTCTCGGCATTTCCAATGTTTCCTCACCCGTGCACCTATACATGGCACGGTGCACATTATGTAAACATATTCCGATTCCGATCATCTGCCATCTCCCGTCCCCAGTGAACCGTTCCGGCAGCGTGCCAGAGTGCCTGAGTCAGCCGTCGCTGTGGCCAAGTGTGGGGAGAGGGTGGGTATGCATGGTGACAGCAAGAGGGATATATCAACCCTCCAGGGGACATCCGTCAGGGCAGGAACTGGGACAAAGAATGCAGTGTCCGGGATACATCGTAAGTGCCGGGCACCCTCTTTGTGGAATACCCACTGGGATTAATCAAACTGCCTGGCACTTCAACAAATAACCAGGGCACTACCTCACAGTGCTTTGGAAACGACACAATATCCAGGTTACATCACTGACGTGACACGTTGCCGGAAAACCCTGTGTCACACCAGTGACGACTTAGATATGTACATCCCTGACACGGGAGAACGCGCGGCACCTTTCTTCTGCCACCAGCCGGTTTCACGGGACGCAGTCGGCAGCCGGCAAAGTAACCGCCAACCCAGCGGGACGAGCTCCCGTGCGCAGCCCCTCTCCCCCCCCCCCCCACACCACCTCCAGTGAGCCGACGGTCCGGCCTGGGGGCAGTCGTAAAGCTGAGGTGTGGAGCCATCACGGCAGGTCACGGCCTGCAGACTCGGCGGAATTTATTATTGTGTTACATACCGCGGGGCCCGCTGCCAGTCTTGGCGGAGTTTTATGTGACTGTTGGGCATTTGCAGGTGTTTCTGAGAGATACACAGAGCTAATAGCATACGTGCGCGCCTACGCACGAGCTTTGCACACCCACATATGTATAGATGACACGTCAGTTGCATAAAACAAGTGTATGAGATATTCCATGGTGAAATTACTTATCACAAAACATGTCTCCTTGAGACATGAATTTGTATTACGATTTACGCACAAGGGGCTGCTTCATGATTAATGTTACCTTATGTTAACATTATGTTATGACATTATCAGCCTATCAGATTATCAGGTCTCCAATAACATTTGCGTTTTTGATGAGCGCTGATTTAGTTGATGGCAAGATGATACACGGAGGCATGCACTCTCTAGGATCAGCTAATTATCAATCGCAGCTCTTCCTTCGCTGCCCAATTAGCTACGTGCCTGATAATGCAAGCTCCTCCTGGGCACCTCCATAGTTTATAGCATAGCTTCTTGTGTTGGTTTATTGTATCATGCTCCTGAGATATGGGAGGCGTTCATTACAGAACAGCATTGGTTTTAGTGCTCATATATCTTTTTTCATTCCAATAGGGTATTGACATGTGATGTTCTTTAAAGCGGCATTAAATACAATTAATTACAACGAGATGCCATAAATTTCAATTCTACGGCGTAATAAGAGTCAAACAGGTACATTCAGAGATAGCCGTTGCAAGCTTGTTGATTGCCAGGCGGGAAAACACCAAACAATGGGACATTAAGCCTTGCTCCTCACGTAAAACTGTGTGCATGAGCAGCCATGAAAAGCACCTAACCTTGGAAACACTGACCTAATTTTGAATGATTTTATGTAAGTCCAGCTTTGCTGGGGTAGCGACTTATTACAACATTCCATTCCATGATAAAAAAACAAGTCCGAATTTCACATTCAAAAAGCAAAAAGCTAATATTCAAAATGTGTGTTGTGGCATGCAGGCGAACGTACTACCTTGGTCATTGATCCTCAGCATGCTATTTTCATAGTGCACAAACACGCTTATCACGAAGCGGAGCCCCAGTACAGGTATATTGAACTTACAGACGTAGTCTGGTGTGCCGAGCATCTCCCTGATCTCTTGACCGGCCGATATGACCCGGGATATCTCCAGGTCACACAGCTTGATGTCGCAGTCGGGAAACGCTCCCGTCATCACCAGGTTCTGAGGCTGAAAAACAAAACATATCGATGATACATCAATATTTACAGCATGCCTAAAAATGAAGGGACCGTTCTTCGCTAAGTGTGGGATGTAAATTAAAGGCATGTTGAAATCGCATAGAATGCTTTCTTAAAGCCACCGAACAGCAGAGAGCTGGACTGATTGATCTTTTGAATTGATAACAGCCATTTGTGCAGAGCTGGATTGACTGGGTCATTTGTATTTATGTGAAAGAGACGTGCAAAGGGAGACGAAACATTAAAATAGCTGTAAGCTGGGACATGCGCTTACAATACCACAACGTGTCTGAGGCACGATATGATAGTTTATCGGCTCCAATTTCAACTCGATCGGTTTTATTTTATCGTTACGGGATGCCATATAGAAGGTCGGACAGTCTATGTGAACATTCATTCACACGTTATCTGTCTCACCTAACGACAGCAACGGCTCCGTTCACTGCTGCAGTTGATGTCACGAGTTGTAATGACATCTGACGTAACAATGTTTACGGCAACAGCTTTTATACAACTGTACCGCCGGACCGGCTTACCGCGCAGAGGCCAGGACACGCGGCTGCATGCAGATGGGCATCTTACACCACCCTCGGCGCCGTTATCAGATGTCCGATGCTCCGATAACCCAATTCCATTCTGGGGATCGGCCTCCGCCAGCCAGCCCGCATCTGATCTCCGGCTAATGCGCCATTTCGATTATGTTTGCCCGTCTCTACGGTAAAGCTCCGATTTCCATATTCCCTCGAGCCTGAATCCGGATTTATTTTCGCCATTACGTGGGATGTGGGTGTTAACAACTCAGCGATATGGCTCGTAAACGCCGGCGATGGCACGTGGGAGGCTGGTATTTACGGCTTCGCCCAGCCGTCGGTCGTACCCGGATGGCCGCTATGGGTGCCGTACTGACGAGTCATGGGTGCCGTACTGGTGGGTCATGGGTGCCGTACTGACGGGTCACGGACTGAGGCTATGGGTGCCGAACTGGTGGCCATGGGTGCAAGGACAATACCATTGTTATTTAAAATAACATCTAATGGTTCACATTCAACGCATGCAATCAACATGTTATCACAACATCTGTATGTTTCAAGATGATGATTAATTACTTGTCTGATCAAGTTATCCCGACAAGAATTAATCGAAAGGGCGGCGGTGTAACATCTCAGACCTTGGTCGTGCCGCCCGCTAACGACAGAGGCCTCTCCGAATTCCGTTGTCCCTCTGCCTGTTCTTGTGTTTCCACGGCTTATGGTCTCGCAAGGCTTATCAGGACGGCAACTATGAACCATAATACTGCCGAAATAAACTAAAGAGTGTCTGTGGCTGTCCTTTCGGTCCGTCCTTGCGCCCCGTGACATCACACTCTGTCCCAATGACGTCACTGGCCCGGTAATTGCCGGCGCCGTCTCGTTAGCGCGCCGGCCGTCACTGATGGCTGTTAGCGCGGACCCACCGTGGCGACCGCCGGCGCCGGCCCCTAATGAACGGTGGCGGCGGCTCCCTATCGGCGGAGGCGGCCGGCCGCCCGGCGGGAGGCGCCGTCAGTCGGAAGGCGCCGTCAGTCGGAAGGCGCCGTCAGTCGGGCATGGAGGCGGGAAGGCCGTCATTCGACCTGTCCCTACTGCGGTAGGCACCATCAGTCGGGCAGTGAGGCGAGAGGGCCGACACTCGTTAGTCGGGCCTGTCCCTATTGCGGGTAGTGGAGTGGAGAGGACGGCCAGGAGGCGGCGGTTGCTGATTTAGCTCATATGTAGACTGTCAGATGGGCAGTGAAAACTTATCTCCTCGGTCTGCAATATTCACCAGTAAAACGCCTTTTGGGCGACCAACGGAGCGAGCGAGAGGATGGGCCTTGCACGTGCGAAATTGCGAGGGGGTACCTCCAACTAACTTGTGCACTGCACCCTACTAACCGGTCTTTAGCGATGTGCCAAATTTCAGCGCAATCGGCCTAGCCGTTCTCGAGATCTGGAAGCGGCACACTGCACGTGCGCACGTGCAAGCGGGGTCCAAACTGACTTTTGCACGGCACCCTACTAACTGGTCCCCAACCGTGTACCAAATTTGAGCGCAATCGGCCCAGCCGTTCTCGAGATCTGGGAGCGCCCCCTGCACGTGCGCACGTGCTGTAGCACCCCAACCTTAACACATGCAGATGAATTATCTGATGGAGACCTAACTGTGTACCGAGTTTCAATTCAATCGGCCCAACCATTGTGCCGTTATTGAGGTTGCAATTTTGGGGTTCTTAAAAAATGTCCAACTTTACCACGCGCCACGTGCAGTGGTTGGCAAGAATGCATGGTGTCCATCACACCACAGAACTTTTACGTCCAAGTGACATTCAGTAAAGAAGACCGCTTGTCAATCGGATGTCCCGTTCCTAAGATATTAGCTTTTGAAGAGCGTCCCGGCCGGCCGGCCGGCCGGCCGCTCATACTCAGGATTTTCCCTTAATTCAGTATGAGACTCCGCTCGCTTCGCTCGCTCCGTAATTATCCAGCGGGACCTGTTCAAAGCTGTTTTTTGTGAGCAAAAATAGCAATGCATCATGAAAATTAATTTGTTGCGACAATTTCGAAAAGCTAGCTTTTAATAACCGATATTTAGCTGTAGTTGCTGATGAAAAATAGGGGAGCATAATATTAAACTTTTCCTTTTTAATTCGAGTACCTAAGCAGAAGACAAGCCAAAGCAGGTCTCATCTACTCGTATGTAGCTCTTGCACTGAAGAGAGAATTGAAAATAGCTAGGTTCTCTAAAATGTGCTGGGCTGAAATCAAGACGAAAACAAAGGCATCTGAGACATGTATGGGGAAAACGAAAGTAATCGTTTCGGAATCAACTGCTCTATGTTAGCTTGGTACCTAGCTGTCAGCTTAAAATGTAAATCCTGCTTTAAGGTAAGATAAATGCATGCAGCTTTGTATTCAACAGGCACAGACCAGAAATGGTTCATCCCACGTTCCATTCAAGGAATCAGTGCGCTCATTGAATGTCGAGTACGCATTTCGGCGCGCACGACAGCCGATGGGCGGGGCGCGCCGACTGCTCATACGGAGGTTCGGGTGGTAATGGCCCGCACGCGTCCGCGGGAGACGCTCCATTATTCATGGGCTCGGGGCGGGCTGCCGGCGGCCCACCCGGTCACAAGGCCGACGGTCTGTCCGACAGAGCCGCTGGCCACAATGGGGGCACGCGTGAGGGTGATATGCCCAGGGAGGGACGGCCCGGGACGGCATCAGAGTCTGCTGTCCGGCAGGGGAAACGGTCCGATCACCCCACTGTGGTGTCTCAAAAATGGTGGTCGATATACAATTTTTTATCATTTAAGTCTTTTTTCGGATTTTTATGCAGTCAAAAGACTATAAAGGTAAAAGTCATAGACAAATAGGCAATCAAGGATTGGTCTGACCCATCAAAGGACCAAACTAAATATTTTGAAAAAAATGTGTACTTTAAATAGTTAATCCAAGCACAACTCGGAAAATCGTCTATGACACCTAACTGCCAGGGTTCGTGCCTATTGCTTTTTCCCGCAAGAAGCACAAACAAATATGCTCAGCTGTGGGAGCAAGTGCACTACATGCCCTAAATTGCGCAGTGCGCACCTTTCTAGAAAAAAACGACCGGAGCGACACCAAAAGATGCCGTAAGAACAGTTATTAGCAACCGTTCCCTGCTATTTGGGCGGCCAAGTCAGGCACTTCATCCCCGCACCTCATGTAATCTATGATCACATCTCTGCCGGGGTGCTCCCCGTCCCCAGCCAGTGCTATAGATCACTGCGCTACATGCCATCATTTCCCCATCACCCACCCTAGCTGCACGTTCTCGCTGTCGGGCGGCGCGCCAAATGAGGCGTCTCGCAGCTGCCCTCTGGCCGGCTGAAGGATACGCCCATTTCGGGACCGCGCCTGGCCACTGGCCGCGCTCCAGTTCCCCACCTTGATGTCGAGGTGAGCGATGTTTCTGTCGTGGAGGAAGGCCAGGCCCTCCAGCAGGTTGGAGATGAAGCGCACCACGTCCGGCTCGTAGGGCACCTGGTCGTTGTCCAGCACTCCCTGCAGGTCGCCGCCGCCGCCTCTGCATGGGGAAGAGGCAGGGTCAGCATAGTGTGATATTATCCAGCTTGAAATACAGTCATTTGGTCAGACCTATCTATTTGGGTGTGAAAATAACCGTTCAAGAGCCTCCGCGAAGAAGATGAAGCATAAGCAGCTGTTTGCAGACAGCATAAATTCCTCCCACAGTCAGAGCCCGTATGGTACGACTCACAGTTCCATGACGAGGATGAACTGGTGCGGCGTCTCGAAGACCTGGTGCAGCCGCACCACGCGGCCACAGCCGCGCGCCTGGTACATGGCGGCCACCTCGTGCAGGATCTCGCGCCGCGAGTCGACGCCCAGTCGCGTCTTGCTGCAGAACTTGGCGGCGAAATGGTGGCCCGAGCTGAGCTCCAGACACTTGTACACGCTGGCCCACTGGCCGCTGCCGAGGAACACAAGACACAGAGGCGGTTACAAATGATACCGATCAATGTTGATGGAAGGCTAGACTGTATCATCTAGTTATAAGGATAAAGTGTAAAAGGGATTTACAAATTTTCCAGCTATTCCAACTGCGGTACATACAGTAGTCCATCCTCGCTCTCGGCACAGTAGTATATTCTTCCTGCGATACAGTGGTCCATGAAGTGGTTTACCCTGTCCACGGTAAAGTGGTTCATGCAGTGTTCTGCCCTCTGCACGATACAGTGGCCCATGCAGTGGTCTATCACCGTGGGCGCCGTCCGCTCATCAGCAGATGCCCGGCCCGATTGGCACGTGAGCGGCGCACAGAGAGCCTGCTCAGCGGCCGGCGAAGGACGAGACCGCATTACGCCGGGCCATGGGTCGCTGCCGGCCGACATAACAACCCACTCGGGCTACCAGTACCTCCCGGCGCCGGCCAGTACCGCCGCCAAACCGCGCCCCCCAGCCGGTATCGGGAACAGCGCCGCGGTGATTTGTGCTCCCTGCTTCCGCCTGATAATTGCCAGCGCGGTAACTGATAAGTTACTTGTGGATTCATGCCTGGTCACTGGTCAGTACGCATGTCAGTGATGAACGGCCGGTTTTCGCGGTAGCCTTCGATACTGTAACCACTATGGCGTTTAGAGGTCAGATTAAACAAAGGCCACTGTTCCAGATTCCTCTCGTTCGGCATGGACGGGCCAAACCAGGGTATATTGTGCGCTAAACATTCCTCGTATTGTGTGGTCAAAGTGATGAATCTGTTACACAACCTACACATTTTCTCGGGACAGCAGGTAGATAGGTCTATCTAACTTGCTTTGTCTTGTCGACTGACTAAGATGCTGAGAATAGGTAATTAGACAGAAGGTAGCTTATAATTAACAAGGCATCAGTATGGCCGTATGAAGACAACGCCAAAAAACCATTCTTTCATGAAGTACATATGATTAAGTACAAGCTGGCGTAAACACCCATAATTATCTACTGACGGATGTGGAAGCAACTATACCTAATCAGCTTGACTTTGAAAGGGTTATCTGTATTGCCATTTATGCAAAATACTTACAAACAAAACTCAAAAAGCTCAATTTCATAGTGTGCCACTGAACTCATGACGTTGCTCGGTGCTGTCACTATCTAAACGTTTTCAAAGTCGTCTTTCTCACGGCACTGTCGTGCGTTGGCGGCTCGTGCTCTCGGCTAACAAAGCGCGGCCGTAGACCTCTGAGGCGAATGTGGGCGGCCTAGGATGGAGAGTCGATTGGGTTCCGCCCTAATACTACTGCAGAGAACACCGCCCTGCTAGTGAGCGACGTGGGCCCGGTACCGTGGCAGCAGGGCGGGAAAACAGTTTGAGATCAATCAAAGACGCTAATGTTCAAGAGCAAGGAGTGGGAATAGCGGGACATGAAAATAAAACTTGTGAGAACCAGGCTACATATAGGTACGCAAGGATAAATTGATCCCTGATTACCATGGGAGTGGATTTTATGTGGTGACTTAACACTGACCATAAATATTCCTCCTGCCTTTTCTGGCGCTAATAACTGTTGGCAAACGACGAGCGGCACCATCAACGCCTCGGCCAATATTAGCATATCTCGTGGGTAACGGCACATTCTTCATTGCGCACCAGGAAACACGGCAGAACAGACAACTCGGACGAGTAAGTAGTACGTTATCATATGAACGTTGTAGACAGCTTGATATATTTCAAAAGAACATATTGGTCAGAAGTCGATAGTATTTTATGCATTGCAGATAGTGAAGCAAACGTTAGTCTATTTGCAATAAACTGGCGCAAGCCATTTGACAGGACATTATCTATATTATAGATAATATAGCCCTTTAGAGCATTCAGAATGGAACAATGACTCGGCCGTCTGTCGCCGAGCTATTGAGCGCAGCTCATTGACACAGTGTGTGCAAACAATAGGCCATGAACGGCGCGGGGTGCCGATCATTTAGCCTGTCAGCGGGGACCGGCCGTTCTACCTGGAAACAAATGGACACTGTGCGGGCCAGAAAACTAGCTCCGTATCGCTGTGTCAGGCCAGGGTCGCGCCGGCCAGCCCTGCAGTGCCACTCACTGTCGCCCCGTGCCTATTCAACACAGGCCAGGAAGGCTGCTCAGGCGCCGGCCCGGGCGTGGTGGGCGGCGGCAGCGACGGACCCGATGACAATGAGGCCAGACAGCTCTTTCGCGAGCGGCGCCAGTCGGGCGTCGAAACGTGACAGGAGCGGACCGGGCGGCGCGGCGGCGCGGCTGTCATGTCGACCGACCGTGGGTGGACGGTGCGGCTCGGCGCTTTTAGGCTCGACGGCGCATAGAGCCAGCTCTGAGCTGCTCTGACGAGCTGGATCTGTCCTCCGACACATGTATGGCGCCGCCGGTCACACGAAACACGCCACTATCACAAAGACCTGCCCTATCACCGGGGACATCGCCGCTGAACAGCAGCTTAATGGCGAGTAAATGACAAGTCGCCGGTAATTCGGCCGCTAAGCCAGTTACAGCCGGAGGTTAAAGTGCCGGCTGAGAGCCGACTGCCGCTCGGATTGGTGTAAGCTCTGGCGCCGCCGTCGGTGCGGGTCCCATAGAGCCGTGTGATCTTACTGACGCAGCTCCCGGTTAGGGAAGGCGGAGACGAGGGAGCTGTCCCCAGTCAGGGACCAGCGCCAAAGCCGCGCGAGGTCAGGGACGCCGCTTCCGTGGGACAGTGCCGCTGCCAGGAACAGGAACTCTCGCTAGTTATAAACGCTGACAAAGCTGACCGAACCGACCCGAATGGCCCAGCTGAAAGAAATGACACACAAAGATAAGGAATACCCTACCAAACTGGATGATGTAAAATCTTGGGCAGTTGCATCCGTGTCAGAATGTGTCAAGGAAGGCACTGAGCCTATTAGCTGGGTGAGATAAAACAAGTATCAATTAATGGACACAGGCCAGTTCCTATGGTGAGCGTTTCGTATTAGCTGGCTCAGAAGTATGCGGCTGATTTGTCCGTTATCTCCGTATTGGGTAAGTGCAACTGTCACTCTACTGACAGGTAGGATGGTCGTCTCTCTAGTGCCTTGGACGACTGTCTCTCTGATAAGCACTGCCGTCTTTTCTGTAAAAACGTGCCCTTCTTGAGGTGCATACAACCATTTTTTTCGTACTGGCATGGACATGACCGTTTTTCTTGTGGCGGGTACGTGAGGGCCTCCTCAACGACAGCCTAATTACAGCCGTCTCATTTATAGGCGAGTGCCACTGTCTCCTCACCCCTGGCGATTTCGACCGTCTCTCCCTCAGAAGGCGCGACCGTCTCTCCTTGAAACGTACGACCGTCTCTCCGGTGCAGTGCCCGGCCGTCCCCACTCATTTCTATCTTCCGCTCGGCTCCGTCCAGCCGTCCCTGTAGGTGGGCCCGTCTGTTCCAACGGCGCCGCCCTGCGTGGGAGACTCGGCCAAAGGCGTGCAGGCGTGCAAACGTGAGCTCGCCTCGCCGCCCCTAATTATGACGTCATCTGAGTCGGCCTCCCCGACCGTTCGTGCAGGCGGGAGACCCACTGGATGACCGGCATTCACGCACAGGTGAAAGGAATCGCGCCAGAACGGAGCGCCAAGTGGGGAGAGGTTGTATCGGATGGCAAAAAAATTCAGGCCAAGAGTTTGCTTTTGTTCTAAGGTTGCGCAATTTACATACAGTATTTTACATGTATGTATATACAGTACCTACATACTGAGTTAGGAATCGCGACGCATCAAATTCCCAATTAGCCCATCAATAACCCTTTCACGAGGTAGCATTATTCGAAAGGTGTAGGAGCCACCAACAAACAACTACTAAAATTTCTCAGGCACAGGTCCCAAGAGTATAGAACGGATCAAATTGGTGCCCAATCTTTCGTCGTTAAAGTGCTTACATTTATAACTATCATTTAAAAGCAAGAACGGCGAATCTTTGAGTTAAAGAAATTGCTGCATTTTCACGTCGTTTATTGTTACAAAGTTTCCTTCTGCAATTGTAAGATGGGGTGCACGTCAGAATAGCTAGTGACATTTGAGCTAGTGACTTTTGAGCTAGTACAAAACACCTAGTACTTCAAAACCGCTAGTGAAAAAGCAGCTAGCGTCAAAATAGCTAGTGAAGCAAAATAGCTAGTGCATAAAAACAGCTAGTGACAAAACAGCTAGCGTCAAAGCAGCTAGTGAAGCAAAAGAGCTAGTGCCTCAAAACAGCATAGTGACGAAAAAGCTATCGCCAAAATTGCTATTTCGTTGGACCTCTGTAATCTGTTTCCTTCCCATTCACTTCGCTTCGAAAATGCAAGATATCTATTACTGTAAATATGTATTTCCCGCGATATGCCATCTCAAACATTCAAAGTAATGTTGAAACCTACTCTCCGAATGAACTCTTGTTTTGCTTATAATAATGCCTTCCCTGTAGCGTCTAAGAAGAGTAACTAATCTGGTATTAATGTCTTGGTATGGAACATCATGGCCACTTTTGAATTTCATAAGATCAAACCTTGCAGATTTTGTTCTTTTTGGATGACGGTGAAAAATCTCATTAATGATAGTTGTGATGAGTCAAACATGCTTTGAATTCCCCGGTGCCACGCTTCTAATTTGTTGTTTGTCCAAGGGATCCCGTCATCTATCCTTCTAACATTCCAAATAATTGTGTCATTTGTCAAACAACGCAACGGTGCTCTTCTGTTCCTCCTACCGGTTGGGACTCGTCGTCGGGAAAGAATCTAAGGACTCATCGGGAAAGAATCTATAATAGCTGCTCGTACTTAGTACAAATCCGCTACTTTGCTTCATTAGTTATTTCGACGCTAGCGATTTTGTCACTTATAGCTATAATGAACCACTAGCTATTTTGCTCTACTAGCTATATTGACGCTAGCTGTTTTGTCACTAGCTGATTTGATGCACTAGCTATTTTGCATTACTAGCTTTTTTGGCGCTAGCTGTTTTGTTACTAGCTGTTTTGAAGCACTAGCTCTTTTGTACTAGCTCAAAAGTCACTAGCTCAATAGTCACTAGCTGTTTTGACGTGGACCCGTAAGATGGCAGGTACCTTTGATGCGTAATAATTATTCATGACTGAATCACTTCATTCGGCCTTGCCTTATTTTTGGCTATCATTACAATTACGACGTGTTCCATTGCAGGTTAGTTGATTGGAATTCGGAAGTGCCGGCTACACTATTCCGATTTAATATCTATGGGGTCCTGCCTGAAGAACCATTTCAGTCCTTAATTTCACCTTTAGCTTTGTCGTACATGAACATCGAGACGAGAGCAAAATAAAATCTAGATACCGACATAAATCATGAATGTGTATTCGAGCGGCCCGTTGAAAAATAAGACCGATAACCGGACACAAAATCATGTACGCAAAGCGATAAAACGAAATTCGGAAAACACAACCAAGCTACATAAAATTGAGGGTAAACGATTTGTGATAAGGAGCGTTGAAATGATATTTAATTCTAAAAGATAAAAAGATAAAAAATAAATAAATGATAACAATAACACGTCAAATGTATATTTAAACACACAAAGCTTTCGGTATGAAAATACCTTGATCACTGTGTTAACAGAAATGAGGACAGAAATTGTCACCGGCAGCTTGTACCTACAAGCTGTAGTACAAGCTGCCGGTGACAATTTCTGTCCTCATTTCTGTTAACACAGTGATCAAGGTATTTTCATACCGAAAGCTTTGTGTGTTTAAATATACATTTGACGTGTTATTGTTATCATTTATTCTAACTGTCTTGGATATTCTACATAAAAAATAAAAGAAATCATTCCGGCTAGTTCTTATCATTGGATTTCATAGTCGCGCAAATATAGACACACCCTATTCCATGAGTCAGCGGTGGCGTCTATGATGCAGTGTTTGCACTGTTGCGGCTCACTGCTTACACTGACAGAAGTCGATAGCCAATCTTCTGCAAACAGCCGGAGCCCTAGAGGTCCGGTGAATTGCACCGCATTTGTGTGGAAACTCATAGGGCGCCGACGAGTACTGGGTAATAAATTCAGAAGCCTAGGAACAGCTGCTGAATTTTAGAGGAACTACTGAATTCGGAGTGGATTATAAATTACCGATCGTCTGTCTTGAAAGAGACGCTGAATCTTGGGCCAATTATTGCAACTGGGACCGGGCTGTAAATATTGGGAAAAAGCTGCCTTCTGGATGAGCACACTGAGTTTGGTGCCGTGAGCCGTTTGTGACGGACGGTAGTGGAGCAGATAACAGGAGCGGGGCTCGCCGAGGGTCGCAGCTGTCACACTTTGAGCGGAAACGGCCGGTGTATCTGGCGAGTGTCCGCCGAGACCGGAAGGGACTGCGGACAGCTCCGAGAAACGGACGAGCGTCGAGTCCGTGAGTCACTGACTGACAGCCGGACCGTCCGACAGCGGACCGTCAGGCACTGTTTGGGCGGAGGCAGTGACTCGCGGTGACAGTCCGAGGGACCGCCTGAGTCATCGAGTCACCGGCCGGTCACCAGCGCTGACTCAGGCCCGGTACCGCCGGTCCGCCCAGGGAAGACCTATGTCTGCCGCCCACGGAGCCGACAGACTGGCGCCGCTGTAAAAACGGGCCGAGACCGCACCGGACCACAGGGACCCTATCCATTTTTACAACCACCTCTGCGTGTGGTTTGTCAGGGCCCATATCGGTGAGCGTTCGGCATGTCGGCCAACAGCAAAAAGTTGAGACCAGTCGGGTTCATGTGATGATGTAGTGACATTTAGTTGTATTATAGGTCGCAATAAGAATGAGTTATAGCTCGCTATTTAGGTATACCTAAACAGAGCCGGAAAATAAATAAAACATATTTCTTAATTCTTCAAATACATTGCTATTCGGCTTCCTTCAGCTATATGTCGAAGGCTTTTATTCATTCTTATTGCAATCATAACCATAAAAACTTAAGAAGAAGTTTACAACCACCTAAAATGATTATAAACATTACAACTTATGCACCTTTGCCACAGTCTTTTTTTTTGCCACGGGCACACATTTTTTTAACATTCACAAATATCAAATCTGCACTAAAACATCAATACGTTGTAACAGATCATACTGGTTGCTTTTGCCCGATCCCTCAAAATCTTGGTGATAAGTTTAAACAGCCTCAACCAAATTTCTCATTTATTGCGATATTTTGCACTTCCCACAAAGCACAAAATCTAAATTGTTCATTCATATTGCAAGGAAACGGTCGAGACAAATGATAGCTCCAAATTATTAAAATTATTTTCTTTGAGATCGAAACATCAATATGAAGAAAGGTAACAGTACTCGTACAAATAATGTTTACACTTAGAAGAAACAGGCAAATTTAGAGCTACTCGAAATAATAATTGTCCATGGCCTTTTGCGAATTTAAGCACAACACTAATAGCTCAAAATCGCCCTTAGCTTTGACCACTGCTGACTTACGTGCAGATGGGCACGGGGCAGATTTCGTAGTAGAGCTCGATGGGCTCCTGGAAGACGGTGGTGCGGAACTGCTGGTCGGTGAGCGTCATGAAGCCGGCGGGCAGCGGCTGCTGCGGCTGCGGCGACGCGACCACCTCGGTCGGCCTGGTCATGGTGGAGCTGCGCACAGCCGGCTGGACCTCGCACATAGCTACAGCGGACACTGACACAGACAGACAGACAGACGGCGCGGCTCGGCGCTGCTGAGGCTCCAGGCGCCGTCCGAGTCTTCCAGCTAAGGACACTCGGAGTACGCTCTGAGGGGAGAGGGAAGGGCCGGCCCGCGCGCCGTCGCCGCTGTCTGCCGCACGCTACTGAGGTCCCTAGCGGCTCCTCGCGACCGCCACCCTGCAGCGCGCCACCTGCCCGACATCTGGTGGACAACGCAGACACCACACGGCGCACTAACAGGATTAGAGTGACGTCACAGAGCAATCTGCTAAATGATGTTTGAGAATGTAAAGCATGACTGTCGTCAAAAAAAAAGACGCAGTCGTATTTTGTCCCAGTCATTCAAAATAGGGAGGTCACAAGAGTAATGTGATCTTAGATCGCCGATACAGACTGCTGATATAAACATTTCACAAATTCTATCACTTATTAATCGCTGAGACTTTTGCAGAAATCGTGTGGTTGTTATATCATGCTAGCGAGCAATAACTTAATTATTACTGTGAAGACGTCATCTGGTGATCTAAACTAAGAACTTCATGAGCTTGAATAATTTCTTATTACCTATGTGCAGAAAATATGCATTATAAGAGGGCCACCGCCTTAAAATCTTCTCGAAAACCCTAAGAAGGGCGTTTAACCCGCGACCGCCTGGGGGGTCGGATCCGACCCCCCCTCCGTTTTTCTTGAATTACTCATGAACCGCTTGCGTTATCAAATTGAAACTTGGTATACCTTCTCCCCCATCAATTTGACGTCTCCCGTGCAATTTTTAAGAAAAAAAATTACAATTTTTTTGAGATATATCGATTTTAGTGATGTAACTACATGGCGTTTTCGGTCAAAAAGTGGTAAATGTTTAAAAAATCGCCAAAAATCGAGGTTTTAAGCAAATTGCAAATTAAGGACATGAAAAGACGCAGCTCAACGAGTTCTTAAAAATGGCTGTCTCAGATTTTCCATAAAACGCGTTTTTCACCCCTAAAAGTTCAAAAAACTGTATTTTTTGAAAAACAGCTAATAAAATCCAAAATTTTGAGAATTTCCAAAAAACCGGAATATATGTTATAGAGCTCTATTCGAACATTAGATGTCCCAAATTTCAACTTTCTATCTCGATTTTTGACCCCCAAATTGTAAAAAATAGCTTCAACATGCATAGGGCATGGTGACGTCATAATCATTTTCGCGAATTAGAGTCACTTCTGAACATCGCATGTGAAAACAAATGGCACCATTAGATTTCTGGGACAAAGCTCGTCTAGAAAAATGCATTTTTATGTCAAAAATAAAAAGTTGAAAAATTGACTTTTTTTCTTAGCCCTCGTTTAGTTATGTATGGTATGAACGATTTTTTATGCTTTCAATGCACACTTATCACCAGCACAGTGACTTGGGGTCACATATAACCATTACCATCGGATTTGGCGTGAAAAATAAGCCATAAAACATGTGTCGCACGCCCATGTAGCAGAAAGTGAGAACCGTGACCTTTCGTGACCTGACCTGACCTTGACCCGTACTTAGTATGACCCCTATACGCACATGGTACCTTCACTAGGTCTTTGAGGTCATTTGTGGTGAGTTTCGAGCAGCAGCTATCGATTCTGCTGTCCGTAAGCCTAATCATGCAAAACCCCAGAATTTGACCTTTGACCTGACCTTGACCCGAAAGTTGACCTCAATCTTAAAATCTTAAGAGTGCTTTGGGAAGGTCTCGTAGAGACCTTTCTAACGCCGCCTCGCGGGGCTCGATGCGACCATTGGTTCTCGAGATAACAGGGGGGGGGGGTCGGATCCGATCCCCCCAGGCTGTCGTGGGTACGGAAATAGCCCAGGCGGTGCCGGGTTAATGCACCCCTCTACCATCCACGTCTAGAAAGATGAGCTAAAAATATGCCTCCCATAATAAGAAAAATAATTTGAGACTTAGCAAAGAGAGAATTGCGGACAAGCAAAGCTATATCGGGAATGAATGCTCGTCAAGGAAAAAACTGAACGCATGACAAATGGACTGTCGAAGGCTACCGTTTGCCTTATCACTAACGAGATGACACACATTTTCTTGACATGTGACATTTTTCTGTGTGAAACAATGGTCGGGCCCAGAAATCGTCCTGTGGGTTAATTAATCTGTCCGTCTTCTTAGATGGAAATCCGTCAGACTGATTGCGCTTTGACCCTAACATACGTTGATTCAGAGCGTTTGTCCTTGGTTTTGGCCAACAGGGTACTGTTGGGAAACTGAGAATCCGTCTGATGAGGGCCATGGTCTATTTGTCTCACACGCAAACAGGTGATTACTCAATATTATGTTTGGAGGCACTCGAGAAATTGCTGCGTAATTGGTGCCTATGTATCAAGTTTCGTAAGCCATCGCACCTCTCAGGTGAAGCATGAGGACGTCAGAGTTCACGACACTCTTATAGTTTGTCGATTACCGAACTTATCACCGCAAGTCACATAACAGACCTAGAAAAAGCAACTGCAAATGATGATTTAGTCCCGTGTGACTTCTTCAACTGAATGTTGATGATAAACATCATATCGTATCCATTGCTGGATACTATATATTAACACATGGTTTCCCGTGTGTAAATGGTTTTAACGCACGACGTGGATGGATTGGAGCACGAGTGTGTTAATGCACGAGTGAAACGAGTGCATTAACGCACAAGTGCTCCATTCCATCCACGAGTGCGTTAAAACCATTTATGCACGGGAACCATGTGTTAAACTAATTAATACATGCTTACCTAACGGTGCGAATTTGAATTAAAATTAAACCTAGTTCATGCCACTAAAAAGGGCCCTTTTTGGGAAATCTTGGAATAAAGTCAATGACCCTTCCGAAAAACTTCAGTCGAGAAAGTCATCACTGCACGCGCGTGCACCAATTTAAATTGGTGTACGGCTACCTTCGAATTAACGCACGGTTAATCTCCAGTGAACGCACCGCAAAGTATGTATTAATTGTGCATAATGCACACAGAAATAAAAAACGAGCGCTTTGTGAAAGAAGGCTTAATCATCCGTCTGGAAAGACACAATAAGTGATTTTGCACGAGATTCACTTCGCTTAGATCCCGCTTTTCCCTTGCTTTTTATCTTGGCTTCCTCTTCCCTTGCCTTCTACTTGCTTTCCTATACTCTGTTCCTACCGTTCCTACCAGCCCTTTCCCCGGCTTTTGCACGGCTCTACGGGCTGTTGAAATTCAGGCAACTTCTTCCATATTAATTCGTATATGTTTTCACATATACGAATCACATTTCTTCCATATTGTCATCGATCATCACTTGTTTCGTCATAAGCATAAGAAATCTAAGACTTGAATTGTTATCATAATATTTTGCCTCATATCCCCGAAGTGGTTTCGCAATCAGCACTGTCAGCAGTTTCACGATGCCGGTCAGAAAGCGGTACAAGTATTTCAGCGGGGACCCGTCTCCAATAGTGCGCGACCCACGCGCACCGACAGGCCCTAACGGCCCGAACGACCCTCTGATGGCCACCTCCTACCGAGTGGAGCTCAACACCTGCTACAACACCAACGCAGAGAAAACCTACAAAAACGTCTACACAGAAGACCAGAAAGATCGGGAGCGGAGACAGCTTATGACAAAGTAAGCGTTTCTTTCACAACGATCTGAATGTTAGGTACATCGCCTATGATAGTTAGTTACATTTTAACAGCTTATTTTGATATTGCATGTGTTTGGGAACGGTATAAAGACTTAGATGCAGTTTTGAACATAACTAACCCAATCGCATCTCCAATAACAACACTTAAATGTTAATTTTCGAGCCAGTATACCTACCCCATACACCGTCATTCGTCGATTCTACATATCCATGTAAACACATTGCGCCATAATCAAGTTCAATAATAGGTATCTAGAAAGTCTATAATCAAATAAAGCAATCGAAACTGACTGGCCTCACTCTCGCAACCTGTTTGCAATTGCATCTGAATACCAATAAATATTGTTTATGACAGTCTGACATGCCTACACAGAAAGCCACTATGTTCATGAGCAAAGGTCTCTGACATTGGCCGCGGATGCCGTTCCAGTCTCGAGAGCCTGCAGAGGAACGCGGTGGCGTGCGAGGGAAAACGTTTTCTGCGCGAGCAGATCGGTCACCGGCGGCTGCGGCAGCAGCTGTGTCAGGAGCTGCAGCAGGACGACAGGGCGCTGCTGGAGGTGAGAGACGCTCACACAAGGCGCTCACAGCTCAGACTGCAAACACTCACAAATAGCCCTAAACACCAGTAAACAGGCTCGACGTTTTGTAAGTGAACATTTATGTGTATTATTCAGACGAGCATTTCATATTATTTGTCACAATTTTTTTGCATTGCATAGGATCTTCGACATATAGCTCAATCAGCATATTTCACTGTGCTTTGCTCTTGATCGATGACAGAGTGATGCATGACCATCCTTCTGTCCTACGTTTATGATAAACTTCAGGCACGGAGGATGCATCAAAAGGAGGATCACTTGTTCGTTATGACAAGGTCATCGCATCATCCATACGGAAAGCTATGACTTAGGTACATGCCATTTTTAGGGCCGAATAACGTGCAGCTGGCACAAACTCTAGATCAATGTGTCTTATTTGTCGTTTCTATTGTGCAATCTATTCGGGAAGTCAACGCTGCCTACCAGGTCACTTTCTAGACCCCACTAGCCATGCATGTCACACAAAACTGAGCCAGTCCGCTTGTCATTGGACACAAACATCCACAGCCACGTGCAATAAATTCCCCTGGTCCGGGGAAGCGGGAGCGGACGGGTGCTGTCGTTAGCTGCCGGTAGTGGGCCGTCTCTCCAAGGCAGCGGCCGGCTCCCAGGACCCTTTCTGTCGCCAGCCCCATTAGTTGGCCGTGTTCGCCAGAGAAATATTGACGCGAATCGCTGTCACGTGCTCGTTGTCACGTCCGCTCTCCGGGAAGCGGGCCGGCCTGTCTCTGTTTACGGCTCACTAAGCCATCATCCTGTGGCTGTCGATGACCTTCAGACTGTCTGACGGTCGACGGGACCGGGCGCCGACGGGGGACGCCCGTACCTACCGGGCCCGACCGACCCCGGTCGCTCGCTGCACTTAGGGACACAACTCCCGGTCCTCAACTGCCACTAACTCAGCTACACGGTTCTGTATGCAATCTGTGTGTTTGTGCGTGAGTTGTCGATCCCCGCGATTGTCTGTGTGTTTGTCAGGTGCGCCAGGCACGGATGGCCGAGCTGGTGATCGCGGAACGAAAACAGGCCGACGCAGAGCTGGCGCAGAGAGGCCTGGCCATCTACGAACAGAGGATATAAGCCGAGAACCAGTCAAGGAACGCAAATAATGGATGTAAATGAATGCGAGCACATGAGTGCTTTCGAATCAAGTTTGTCACTATTATACCTATCAGAGTTATATGCAAAGTTATTATTACCAAAAGTAATTCTGGCCTTTGACAGCCACACTTTAGATCTCGGATACCTGCACAAGGGCAAAAATAAATCAATTTGCCCGGAAAAGTCAAAGTTAATTCTAGTCTCATATTCTATATGTGATTTTTTTTTTCAAATTTCGAACCAAAGTTCCGATTTCAGCTTATTTTACCCCGTCGTGTGGCCCAGTCTCCGGTTTCGCAACAGTTCGTGACGTAGCATGCCTGATGGGTAAGACACTAATGGATTAAAAATTAATTGCTTTCCATAAAAACACAATGATAATCCACACACGTATATTTATATCAAGGATACGCAGGATGAATGGATGAATGCTTACTTCACATTACAAGTGCTCCTCCGATGATCAATTCATGACATGTTGCCGTAAATCGCATCCAGCATTACATATAACCACTCAGCAGTCAGCAGCCCATGCTTGTCTGCTGGATGGCTGCCTTCACTTACACCACAGGGCATTCCGAAGGTAAGAGAATCGACATTAAGTACAACAGGTGTTTTGGATGATAGGAAACGGGTAGACAGAATATCTGAACATGACATCGGATACGGTGGAAATGTATTGCATCATCAGTTCTCGCGGATACTCTCGTAAACAATCCAAACGGTTACACGTTGGTCCGGCGAACCCTCCATTTGCGACATCTGCATAGACACCGGTACAATAGAGATATAATAATAGCGACTCCCTTGTCGGCGCGCACAGGCATACGTCCAGAGCCCCCGACGCCGAGCAGGCCACCACCATATTCTTACAGATACCAGACCACGCCGAATAGTCTCAGTTCGCTCCAACTGTAAGCAACGTGACGACATAATGGCTTTGTAACATCTAAACTATGTTGACGGCTGCTCTGTGTAGTGGCCAACTGATAAATATGTACAACTTTAAGTAACAAGATATGTTTATTTTTGACTTCGTACAATACACTTGTAAAAGTGATACTATTATAAATAACAATAACCCGACAATATTTTCTCAATCTGTATTATTTCTGTTCTTATCTGCATTCTTAAGAGCTTTGAGCCTGAATCCTGATATACCCTGACCTATTTTTCTGTTTATCCTCATTTACATATTCTCGTCCCGACATCCTGACTTTGGACCGCTCCTCTCCTGTCCTGAAGGACCTCAAATGTCGGAAAGAGCCCTTCTACAGCTCTATCCTATGCTTCAACTCGCGAGCACGGTCTATGTTTGAATACACGATCATAAAAATACAAATATCAGGGTTGAGACTAGTGTAACCTTTGGTGCGCAAGCTGCACAGCCACACATACAGGGCCGTGGCAGCTCCTCATCTCACGACTAACTACCTACCACAGAACATGAAAGCGCCAGCCTCAGCCACACAGACCCAGTATCTCAGCTTTTGTTGTCCTCATTCAGACACCACCAGCAGTTTTTGGTTCACCCACCAGCAGTGGCTTCTCGTCTCCCCAGAGAACATGCGACCAGTCCTCTCAAGCACCGCTTGCCGGGACAGAAAACCTACCGACCGGGGCAGGCAGATAGCTCGGTCCAGGGGCGTGCATGGTCGTCTACCAGGTCTTGTCGGAGAGTTGATTTCCGCTGAGATAACAATCTGGACGTCTCCCTGCTCAGATGAACTCCGCTTGGACAGGGCGTACCAAGGAATTCTCCCTGCTTTCACTGTGGGGCTGGGACCAGGCGAGCTGAGGGCCGTCACCTGACGCGAAGACTAGAAAGCTCCAGTTGACTGCAGCTCGGGCAGATGTCGCTGCGGCGCCCCTCACGTCCTGCGGCTCTCCAGTTTCTGGCTGAGTGCGTTGATGATCTTTTGATTGTCGATCACGTGCAGTGCGCGCAGCTGACGGCGTATTTCTGACTCGATGCGGGAGAGCTGATCAGAGTCGGTCGACGCTGCAACACGCGCAGTTTAGAGGTCAGCCGTGAGGTCATGTCAGGTCAGCGAGGTGAGGTCGCACGTTAGCACTTAGTTACCGACTGTCAGTTCTCACTATTAATTACTTGTTAGTTTTCACGACACTTTGGGAAACAGCTTCAATCGATCATCGGACAGCAAAAAAAGCGTCGCATGTCGGTCTGACGAACTTTCCAAACTTTCCAGCGTTAATCATCTCGGAAGTTTACGGGAGTAAATAAAAGATTCTCTCAATAAAACATCAAGTTTGTGAGAAAAATAACTGCGGTTTTACTAAAGCGAGATTTCGTCAGCAAAATGATGAAAGCCACAGACAAGAAAGCTAAAGAAACAACGCAATACAAGCCAGTGGTGAATTGAAGCACGGATAAATGGATATTTCACTTTTATGGACAAATTATGAACGTTATTTCTATATCTTTTACTAAAGATGGCTAATGCATCAAATCGAAAGTCATAGCAAATCGTATTCAAACGGCAGTGCTATTGCTTCCGTAGCTCAGTAAAGCGTAACGTCTTCCTTCCCAAATAGCTGCCAGTCACAAATACATGTTCGAGAGCGGTTAGCGAATAGTGGCGCTGCTGAAGTCCCCATTCAATATTGATTTTAGCTGTCGGGGAGGCGCGGTGTGTTTCAGCGTTCCGTGCATTATTGAGTATCGGCCAGGGCAGCGAGCCTGCCTCCCGTGCGGCGAAGGCGCAGGTGCTATCCTCACCCAAAGGACGACTCCGGCAGTAACGCAGGGTGCGCATCGTCTGCGCGAGCATGTGCATCTTCTCAAAGTTGACGAGCCCATTGATCCGTGTGGGATTGCCGTCGTGTGTGAAGGTCATGTCTGGAAACAGAGTCCGGTTACCGTTATCAGAAACGATGTACTCAGATAATGAGTATCGAACAGAAGCGTGGCTATCCTTTCATCGTTGAGCGTTTCTCCAGAAATCTAGCTCATGTTTTGGTCAGAGTAAGCCGTTAATGCACGGTGTACCAGCAGTCTGCATCAAGAAAACATAAATGTAATGCCCCGTGAAAACATTAACAATTGCAAGTCGCAATTACCCTGATAACAGTATCTAGAGTTAGACCAAAACCAATCAACAAAATCGATGGTTTCAACCGTTACATTCATTCAATCTTTTACACGCAGTGGACGCACAAGTAACTCTACTATAACCAAGATACCACTGCGGTAGGTAGCCATTAATAATACCCCAGCCCGTAAAATACCGCGGCTGGAAGCGCACCTTTGATGAGTAGCGGCATCAGCGGTATAATGGGCGGCAGCAGGTCGGCCATGTAGACCCGGTAGGCGCGATGGTTGCGTGTGGGGTCGATCAGCAGCTCAAACGCAGAGTACATCTTGCGCAGCTTGGAGGGCAGCTTCTCCCAGGTGAGCGTCAGCCGCGACACTGCCGAGTTGCTCAGGCCCATCACGATGGCGAAGAACGCGTTCAGGTTCTTCAGCTCTCGGCAGCTGGCGGCGGCACGTCGGGGAGAGGTTATAAACGGAGTGCACTCACAAAACAACACTCAACAGGATGCTGGTGCTTCATTGGTCTTGTGAAATATAATGAAAATTAACGAAGCTGCGATGTTCAATGTATGAGCATAGGCGTAAACCATGCTAATTAATCTGAAATGCAGCGAAATGAGGGATTTATTTGCAAATATGACGGTAGGTCTAGGGACAGTTTTCTCATGCTGTCTCAGTCTCGTTCATCCCACTTACGCCGTGGCCAGTTTGATAAACTTTTTGAGCAGGGCGACGCGCCGGTTCAGGTTGGAGCACAGGCAGATCTCGGTGATGACCCAGTGCTGGTACTCGGTGAACCGACACAGGAATACGTCCAGGTTGGCCGTGGTGCGACCCGGCTGCTCGCGGCCCGTCACGTGGTACAGGATCTCGTACTGCCGGCACATACAGAGATGGTAACGTGATGCAAACTCTAGGTCACATTGTCATGTATTTTACGTAGGTATGTTTGCCTGATAGGTACATACAGGATCTCGTATCATCGGCATACCTTCAAAGAGGCCGTCACGCGATATTCATGAAAACGACCTACTGACAGGAAACGTGTGACAAATTGAGTGCACCGCACATCTGTTGTCGTTCATGTTCTCGGTCATAGATGGCGCTGGTTGTCAGTGCCTGAAGCTAGACTGTCCCGCACATCTTGTGTTGTTCATGTTCTCGGTCATAGATGGCGCTAGTTGTCGGTGCCTGAAGGTAGACTGTGCGGCACGGCACACATATCGTGTTGTTCATATCCTCGCTCATAGATGGCGCTAGCTGTCAGCGCCTGAAGCTAGGCTGTGCCGCATGGCCCGGTTCCACGCGACTGGGAGTTCAAGTCTCCGGTGAGCTGTTACCGATCGGGGTAATGCCATGCATAATCGGGTATTCAGCTGTTTTAATTATGTCACAGCCGGATGAGCTCAGTTTGATAATGTTAGTCTGTGTCCTCCCAGCCAAGTGACCTTTGGCTAATCTGTTAAATTAATAGCATTGCTTCATGTTGCATGCCGCAAACCGATTCGCTGTCATTGCCAGCTCGCAGAATGTCACCTCCACTGTGCCATTGGCGACTTATGCAGAACATTTCTTACTAATTATGTAATTGATCATTAGATGATTATCTACTATTCCGTCACATACGAAGTTAACTGTCACCCTCGCCATTGTTCGGTTATTCTCTGTCTAAAGGGAGAGCAGCGAATAATTAGTGACGATATTGGCCATGTGTAACGATTTTAATATTGCTTGGTCAACCCGAGCATACCAATTCCGAAATTCTTTGTGATTGCCCGTGCCACCCAACAGAAGGCATGTGGCTGTTCAACAAAGATCCATAATCTACCTAATACTTATCTGTAAAAAGGCCGACAAGTATCCCACGCCAACAATTATTGACATTGATGTGAGCCCTGGACCACCCACGGCACCCGGTGGCCTTCTTAGGCAGTGATCCTCCTCGCCTCACTCACACCGATATTGATATTCCCACCCCACCACATTGTGTCCGTAGGTACTTATATTGATGCTCTAAATAGGGAGTATATTGCCTCGTGACCGGGCTCTGTCCCATTGTGCGAGCCGCTTCTCGTAATATCGTATTAACCCCACCACCGCTCTGGAGCAGGAGTTCGAAGAAAGCTATAGGCTAGGAGGGAAGCATTCCTATTATTATTTGTGATCTCGACAATATATGAACGTGGCTGTAGGATCGGCCGTCGTAGTATTGTCCTATCGGATTTCGGATGCGGACCCAAAGCTCGATCATGGGTCCGGGGACCGGGAACCCACCTCGTGGATCTTGTTGAAGGCCTCCCAGTCCAGCTGCGTCATGACGATGGCCAGGTCGCGCGTGTTGTACGCCTCGACGTCGAAGCTGCTGTTCTCGCCGGGCCCCTCCTGCTCGGGAAGTGGCGTCTGCCGGCGGCGCGGGCCGGGCTCAGGTCAGAGGTCACAGACTCCGTCTGCAGTCGGTGCCCTCCCCTCCCCTCCCCTCCCCTCTCTCCCAATTCCACTCCCCCGGGAGGCGGCCGCTACGGAAGCGGCTGGCGAGGAGCCGGGCTATTCTCGAGCCATTCAGCCCGGCAACGGCCGGCTTTGAGTACGTTTCAGAGTTACGCAGAGCCAGAATCAATAGTCTGCCGCGCTACCGAATAGACAGCGGTTAATAAAATGGAGAACAATTGGATTAGGCATCAAAGATAGCTAGTCAATTGACGGAGGTCTTGGGAACAGTGTTCTTAAATGCTGCGATACCGACATTGTGTGATTAGGATGCAGCTAAAGCGATTCAACATCCAACAGTCTTCCGAAACATCCTATTGATACCGATAGGCGATATAGATAGTAGTATAATGTAACTGAAATGTCGTTAATATCTTATGTCAATCAAAAACTCTCATCCGTCCAGTGACAAATGTTAATCGAAGAAGGACACATACGCCTTCCGTCTGTGATCGGTATTGAGACAGACAATTCTTCAGAGCATGATAGTTTGAAGACTGAGGTGTTAGACTGAAGTTAAATTCACTCTTTCTTATTTCGCCACACAGCCTAGCCTGGTACGATCAAATCTAACTCAATGGCACCAGCAAATTTAGGGAGGACTCAAATACAGCACGTGACGCGTGACTGAACTGGTTTAATCGATTCCTGGACCTAATTTTACTGATGGAATGAATGAAACTCATCAGCGCATTTGATAGCATTGCTATATGGATCAGATTTCTCACTTAACGTTTTGGAACATTGCTAATTAATCGGATACGAACATGCAATCGGACCGATTTTGTAGGGCCAGCACACACCAGCTTGAGCCTCAAACCAAAACCCTTTAAAGCACTGTTGATCATTCGCTGAGACGTCTTGAAAATGACAACACCTACCTCTTGCCTCCAAATGGGTAAAAGCTATCCTCTCTCTCCCATCCTCGTTCTCGATAACGAAGTAAGTGGCACGTAAACTAGGTCTATCACGGTATTCGTCACTCACCAGCGCATCCAGGTGATCCTTTGGCGAGACAAACAGTCGTCCATTGAGACTGAGACCGGTGGTGACGCTGGTCTCAGTGTCTTTCAGGGTGAGACGCTCACCTGCCGGGGACAGGAGAGTACGTCAGCTGGTGAGACATCAAACAAGGACCGTCCACCACAGAAGAACGGCCAGCAGTCAGCAGAGACACTAGACAGGTCAGCACTCAGCGCAGACAGCACGGTCAGCAAGAAACACAGTTAGAGGTCAGCATGGTCAAAGTCAGCTTGGTCACCTGCGTCAGCACGGTAGGTTACATCAGCAGTTAGCTCGGAGTCAGCCGCGTTAACCAAAGCGGGGTCAGTCGGATCGTGTAGGCCGGGATGGGGCCATCGATTTGATAATGAAGAAAGCCCGGCGGTACTTAAGTGGGAGATTTTCGCGTGCCTGTGGCGCTAACGGCTCCGGGCCCCACGGGACTCCCTCGTTGGGGCCTGGGTTAATAGTGTCGGCACTGGCCAGGGTGGCGGAACGGACACCTAGTTTCACCGAAGTTTCACCGAAAGGAGGGAGGCGGAGACATGAAACGACCCGAAAAGATACAGAGGGGTGCAGTGATTAGATCGGGGATGCATACAAAAGAGATCGGAAGAAAAGGGGGAAGAGATATGCAGTGAACGGAGAGAGAGAGAGAGAGAGAGAGAGAGAGAGAGAGAGAGAGAGAGAGAGAGAGAGAGAGAGAGAGAGAGAGAGAGAGAGAGAGAGTGAGAGAGAGAGAGAGAGAGAGAGAGAGAGAGAGAGAGAGAGAGAGAGAGAGAGAGAGAGAGAGAGAGAGTGAGAGAGAGAGAGAGAGAGAGAGGGAGAGAGGCGGGGACATAACAGCGATAGGAGGGGACGCAAGAAACAGAAACAAGAAACAAGCACAGTCTCTGAGGAGAGGGAAGAACCGAATCAACGCCGCTTTCTTTGAAGCGCTGATCAACTTTTCAGCAGGGCTGCAAACACTTAATTTAAAGTTGGGCATTGCCTAGCATTCCAAGTCTGACCAAGCGAGATGACGCGACTTCAATTACAGTCTGTCGCACCGTCTGTGCCGGGCCGGCAGGGCGAATTAACTCGCCGAACCATTTGAACTCCACATACCGGATGATATCAGGCGAAATTGAGTATCTCGAGTCGATCCGGCTGATAGAAGTGGTCGGGGGTCGCCCCCTGAGCCGGCTCTCCGTGCACCTGATATTGGCGCGGCTGCGGCGCTGTACTCACCGGACGATTTGAGCTGCACCAGCAGCAGGTCGTCGCTGCTCAGACCGAGCTTGTCAGCGGCACTGCGGCGAACGGCCGCCGCGCAGGCCGACAGAGGAAACTTCAGCGTGCAGAACGTGTGGTCGGCGCAGTATACCCGGAAGATCACTGAAAACATACGCTCAACTCAAACTTTACGACCCCACGCTGTTACATGCAATGTTGATGTGAATAAAAACACACCAAGTCATAAAACAGAACGGTGAGCCAGCACGTGCTGTTTATTCAAGTGCAGCGCATTCAGTCGTCTCCGGTTAGTTTAGTAGTTTAGTTTCGCTGAGTAGCGCCGGTCCTAATCCCCGTTGTGTCGAGTGGAGCCCGAAAACAGCGCCACTGAGGCAGCTGGGAGCCAGCCTGTTCCGGCGCACCCCCGAGGCGCGGCCGGCGGCGACAACAAACAGCGCTGGCGGCGTCTCCCTGCGGGCGGGCCATTACAAGTTGCAGCCGCGGGTCGCCGGCCGAGGAGAGGACGGCACGGAACGGCGGGCACCTGGGGATATTGACCGGGGAACGACGGAGGCGACGGCGGGACGGAGCCACGTGTGGACACTACCGGACCAGAATCACGGCACAAACTAGTGGACTGGACACTACTGGACCAGAACCAAGGTACTGCGAACATGCTTCACATACCTATCTACTACCTACCGCTTAGAGCCAAGCGATTCTATACGACTGAAGACCACCGGCACAAAACCACAACACCACCCTGTTAAAGAAAATTTCAAAGTCGTTCGTTTGGAGTACTCACTTTCGTCATGGTGCTGCATGGGCCGGACGCGATCGGCGGCCTCCTCGTCGATCGAGTTGCCGCTGAACAGCGTGACCCGGTGGCCGGCCGCCGGCATCTTCCACTTGCGGATGCCGTAGGACTGGCGCTCCTGTCGCGCCTTCTCTCGCATCTCCATCAGGTCCATCATGAGGTGGGTCTCCTCCCGGAACAGCGGCCCGTACGTGGTGGCGTCCGCCTCCACCAGGTGGTACAGGTCCTGCAAGGAAATGCGTCGGAAATCAAAAACATGTGAACGTCAAACACATGCACATTTTAAGCATTAACCAATTGTTGCGAATTTACTGGTAATTGCAGAACAATTTGATCAAGCTTCATTGTCAAATACTTAGCAGGAGAATCGGTGAAAAAAAAATTAGCTGACCCAACGAAACGTGTGACAAAAGGGCTGGTTTCTTTCCTCTAAAAACAGAAGAAGAATATCCTGACAGTATCGGTGCTGTCCGGCCGTTCTCACCTCTAGGAAGCTGGAGTTGACGCCGCTCAGATCCTCCAGTACCGGCTCACGGATGGTGCTGGCCCATTGGTGCAGGAACCGAATGACGCGGCGCTTGCAGGCCAGCACATACTCACCGTCGGGGTTCGACTCCTGACACGCCCGATACGTGCACACATTCACAGTTAAGGACATAAGCGGAGAACAGGGGTTAAATGAGACCTAAAGAACCATAGGGCCACGGCCGTATGCCTAGCCGATTCCCATTAGCCATACGAAAAGCCGATAGCCTATCTTAATTTTGAAACCTCTCTAACCAAGCATAATTTGTTTGGAAACAAAATACTTTCAGCGTCGTACTTATTAAGGTCTATGCCCGTAAATAGATTATTCATCAATGTCTCTTGTGTTTGCCTGTTCAAGAACTTTGGACGAAACTTATGCGTTTGTTTGGCATCTTTGATCAGATTACATTAAAATATCACTTATCAGGTACATTATGCATGCCAAGCTAGTCAATCAGAACACAGGAACTCTCAATATCCTGTATAATCATGCGAATAATTGTGTTCACAAGTTCAATATGTGCATGTGTAAATAGGTATAGGTTCATCTAAAGCAAGGATCTATGATAACGAACTGTAAAACGGAGCAGTCGGGTTGAGCGAATATCATCGTGTTTGAAAAGGATATTTGTTGATGAGTTCCTCGGTGAGCTCTTTAAATGGGAAGAAGATGACGTGCGTCAGCAGGAAGTCGTCGAGGAAGAGGTCACTGATGGTGATTTCTGCTTGGCGCGGCTCCGAGTGGGCGCTGAAGCGGGTCTCCAGCAGGTGGTCCAGCATCTTCTGCGGCGTGCCGGCCATCACAGAGTACCTGGAACGAACCGGGAGAAAATGACGTTGAAACACGTTTTTGAATATATATGAAGACACTGGCGCATATTAACCCGGCACCGCCTGGGCTATTTCCGTACCCACGACAGCCGGGGGGGGGGGGGGGGGTAAAAAATTTCCAGATAAATTTCCACAAATCTAAAAAATGAATACGAAAATAAAACAAAAAAGCTTAACATTTTTTTGCTAACTGTACTCAATGTTTATATATTAATGTTTATATTAATGTTTATATTAATGTTTATATAGCTGTTATATTAATGTTTTGATAATTTTGCTGAGCTGAAACCAAACTGCTGAAACTGCTGAAACTGTATGGTGAACTACTGAACAGAAACTGACATCTTAATCTTCACCAAACGTCCAGACGATTATATATTCAGCTCAACGTGCTCGTTTCAATTCAAAATTCATGGCAAAATGACGTTTATAGGGCTCATGATAACCTCCCTCAAGTGATCGTAATGATACATAATTCAGCGTATGGAGAGGTAGGTTGGAAAATATATAGAAAGCTGGGGAAAGGAAAGAAAGAGAGATTAAGAAGAAGAGAAGGAAGAGTGAGATAGAGAGAGGAAAGCAGAAAGAGAGAGAGAGAGAGGGAGGGAGAGAGAGAGAGAGAGAGAGAGAGAGAGAGAGAGAGAGAGAGAGAGAGAGAGAGAGAGAGAAAGAGAAAGAGAGAGAGAGAGAGAGAGAGAGAGAGAGAGAGAGAGAGAGAGAGAGAGAGAGAGAGAGAGAGAGAAAGAGTAAGAGGGACCAGTAAGCGGAGCGGGCAGAGGGTCGTCGACTCGGAGCAGACATGTAATAAGCCGTGACGGTCCGGCCGGCCGGCTATATATGTCCGGCTGATTGCCGCCTCCGTCACCGGCAAACTGCTGCTACTGTACGTAATAATCACCCGTAGCCCGTCAAGGGTCGGTCAGGTGTGCCAGTGTGACGTCATCGGTCGGTCAGGTGTGCTCCGACCGGTGTGACCTCATAGGCCAGAAAGGTGTTCTCTAACTATGTAGATTGTAGAGTTCTGACCGGCTGCCGGCGAACGGTGACCCAGCCGTACCACTAGGTCACGCGAGTTTCCGAAAGTTAGACGCGTGGATAGAATGGGATGAAATTGGCAAAATTGATTTAATAAATAAATAGGTTTGATTGCTTGGGATCAATGCATTGATCTGCCACACGTCCCGTCAACACTTAAGTTTGGGGCTGATATCAAAGTGTCAGAGCGCTAGCGACCAGTCAGTTAGGTACATGTTTTTATTCAAGCCGGCTCCACTTGACATATTGGTTGCAAGTTCATTGGTTGTACGTTATTATCTCCGTTTGACAAACAGTAAATGGGTCAAAGTGTCTTGGTGGGGATGAGAGCTTATCGTGAGAAGTAAAATTATTAAAATTTAAATGATTGAATGCCGCCTTCCCAGTCCGTGCTGAACAGTTAAATGTTCTACATCTTTTCAGGTTCCAACAGTATTCAATTATCATCCATCAACTGATGAATTACCTCTCCGATCTTGTAAGTACTTTTGGCTGTAATCCCTCCCAGGCCAGCACAAAAACTGTGACGAGCCGAAAAACTGCGGAAACCGAGGTCGATGAGAGGCACTTACGGGCCGAGCACCAAGGCCCGCAAATTATGGTAAGCGTGTTTTCGTTGTAGCTACATGTCTGATCTATTTGCCTGCTTTTGAACAAAAATATATGTACATACAGACGCTTCTGCAGCCGTCAGAGAGCGCTTTACGTAAAGAAATGCATTTCCAGTTTAAGGAAATGTTATTTCTTGTCTTATGCGCGCTGGTGCGTGCACTAAAAACATATTTTCGTCGAGAGCGACAAAGATAGTACGCACTTTAAAACTTCTCGACATGCTACGTGTGACAGTTCAGCGCGAACAGCGGCCCAACTGCTGCGGAACGTGGCAGAGCGAGCGGTGGGCTGCGGCAGAAAAGCCGAGAGCGTTCCCCAGAGAGGGGCTGTCAGTGTCAGTTGTGTGATCACAGGCGCGTGCACTCGGCAACAAAGCAGCGGCTCTGCAGGCCGAGCCTGCCTCACCAGCCAGATCACAGACCTCAGAGCGCTCACAGACCTCAGAGCGGTTCACAGACCTCAGAGCAGCTCACAGACCTCAGAGCGCTCACAGACCTCAGAGGCAACAGACCGGGCGGTATTAGGCGACTTCCGTCTCACTAATTGGCTCACAAACCTCAGACACTACGATGGACGTTATACACCTATTACCTACAGACTTCCGTCCTATCAATCGGCTCAAAGACCTCATAGAGCGCATCTGGCGGGATGGTAAAACAGACTTTGGTCTTGCAAACCGGCCCACAGGCTTCACAGAAGCACTGAACTGGATGAAATGCAAAAGTGGACATCCGTGCCACTGGTCGGCACGCTGACTATGCAGAGGCACTAGACTCTGGACATTATAGGCTGACTTATATTAAGCGGTTCGGTAAACTTTGAGGCATTAGTCGACTTATATCTCAATCACTAGTTTACAGGCCATTTCTAAAATGCCTCCGAAACGGTCAACCTGAGCAAGCCAAAATACACTCACTCGGGTATAACACGAAATGTAGGCAAAATTTAATCAAGTTTCGACGAGTTAAGACAGTTTTCTTGGCCTGAAATGATGTTGAATTTTCAACCAAGCAGCAGAGGTCGGTATAAATAATAAATACTACCTCTCAAAATTAATGCCTGTTCGAAGACGCGAGAAAAACATGCCATCGGCTGGAAAGAAAAGTCTCAAAACAGGATCTGTAAAAAAAAAAACTAGCGACAAAGTAATAGGAGCCGTAAGACACACTGATATTACAGAGACCGTCATCCAGTAGTCAGCACACAATATGTCAGGCTTTGACTACTGGCACGCGTATCACTCCATCCAGCTAGCTAGTCTGTACTTAAGTTCAGCTGATACACGATGTATGCTAACATTTTTCCAAGTGACAACAATTTTAACAGGCCCGCAGGTCCTTATTTAGGCCGCCCCACACTGGACCTCGCATGTGGGTTGCGGGTTTTTGGGTTTTCGGGTTTCTTCGAAATTAAATAATACAATCTATGCTGAGTGACCCACACTATCATCTAACAAGCGAGTCTGCATGTTTTTAGCTTGCGAGCTATCTTGCGTCGCATTCCAAAAGTTGGTTATGAGTAAACTCTCGATTTTCCTCGCTGCGAGGTCTGCGAGCTCTGCGAGGTCTGCGAGTTTTTTTTTGAGTCTAATTTTAGTTCGTTGCGCTGATATTGCGACAATATGTAATTTTCTGAAGGTGTACCGGCTTCACTGCGTTCATGGAGTGACCATAAAGGAACGGTGTAATCACTATGAATTAGTAATATGCCCGCAAACTCAAAACCCGCAAACTCGCAACCCGCATGCGAGGTCCAGAGTGGGGCGGCCTTTAGATTGGCTGAATTTGTGGAGGCATGATTACCTTGCACTACGCACCGGGATGGGAGCTGGTCCACTGCTCCATACATTTACGTCAAAGGCTTCCTCTAGTTTTTTTTTTCAGAGACGTCTTTGAACTGCAGCAGGCATCGTTTACTCAGAAACTACATGTAGTTTAACAAAGCACGGATGCCATAATAACGCGTATGAGCCTCCTCAGAGAACAGACCTTACAAAGCCGGTTGATGCAGGCTGCGTGGCAGAAAGGAGTCCGCTATTGGGTCGGGACTGTTTCAATAGAGTTTACTTACCCTTGCCTTTCAAAGCCAACCCTCAGTGTTCTGGAGCCCTTGCATTGCGTTGTTACGTTATATGAACGGACCAGGCATCTGAATGCTACAATGGGCGTAGCATCAATGAAATGCAGGCATTTCCTTATGGTGCTCCCCCGAGGAACACTGCTGCCTGAATGGTCCGGGGTCGAAGGGTTTCAGCAAATGTTATGCATTACGGGCGCACGAGGTAGACGCAATATTGCAAGCATTCGTCTTCATGTATAGGCACTGTACCAGCCTTCAAGTCCCAGCCTAACTAGCGCGCTGTCTAAGCCTTGCAAATACTCGACCGAAGTCACATTGCCATCTAGTCAACTCCAGCGGCACTCGAGTCTCGAGCTCCGTACCCAGGCGAATGGCACAGTCCTTCGAGCATTTCTGGACGAGTGGGCCCGACGACAGGCCATTCGGCTGCGAGCGTTCCCTCTCTCTCTCTCTCTCTCTCTCTCTCTCTCTCTCTCTCTCTCTCTCTCTCTCTCTCTCTCTCTCTCTCTCTCTCTCTCTCTCTCTCTCTCTCTCCGCGCGAGCGCTCTCCCTGGTGTACAGTTAACGATAAGAGTAAGCTCACAGCCGACAGCCCGGTACAAGACCGGTCGACACTGCATATGCCGGCCGGTCCCGAGCACAAACAAACGAGCCGCCCCGGGAAATCAACCGCGCTGTAGGTACCTACTGTCTGGTTACCGGCACACCGGGCCGGACAGGCTGCGGACGGTACCATATATACGGCGGAATATGTACTGCAAAAGGACCGGGCGGCGAAGATACAGAGAGGTAAAAATAGAGGTGATATTGAGCAATTGGTGCCTTGTCGGTAATATGTATGCTGATTGTTCTGTGGGGTGAATAAATGAGTCCAAATTAAAAATGATCTAAATTTATCAAAAAGTTTTCCGGTTTGGGAACCGCCTAGGGCCCTAGTAGTAGTCACACTTTCCAATGCAAAAGAGGGAGGCATATGTCAAGAGATCTCATCTGAAGACATAAGAACTAAACCAAATTAAAACAAAGTAGAGGGCCCTGACAATTTATAAACAAAATTTTAGCTCAGCTAACAAAACCCATAAGTACATAGAACGAGCACCTCCCTCAGGTTCACTGACAGCCAGTGCCCCGAAACTGCACAAAAACTCTTATTAAGTCATTGGGAGGAGTGGACAGTCCCCGGTATGCGTCATTCGCGACAACAATACACTGATCTGAAGATCTAGTCTACTCTAGACAAGTCCAAGAAGTGTAACGCTGCCTCTACAGGGCAGCAGAAGAGAGAAGCAAATTAATTTATCGTCGTAGCCAGCTGCGGTGTCATCAGACCTAGATCGTGGGTTATGGTGTTCACATATACATAGTAATTGCGAAAACGTCCTAGTGCGACGGGAAAATACCGAAGGCGTGTCGTCGGTGCATCCAGGGCTGCAGCTATACCACCGGAAAGCATATTGTTCGGAGGAGTGTAAAATCGGTCAGCCACTGAGTCGCTTTACTGATAGTGGTCACATATCGACATGAAAATAACGTCTTTATGATCGCTACGATGACAAATTTGATCGCTCTCTTCGCGAGAAGCATGATGCCAACTTGGGGACGTGAATCGCTTGCCAGTTGAATGTGCGATAGGTACCAAAGGAATCTCAGTGTCTTTACCAGCATAATCTGCTCGCCCAAGGAGCGTTCAGAGATGAGTTACTCACTTGAACTGGGCGGTGGTGCCGGGTTCAGCCAGTTTCTCCAGCACGAGGACGTCCTTGCCGTGCTCCTTGAGGCGCACCGTGTTGGCCTCGACGTCTCGCAGGATGCGGTTAAAGTCCTCCTTGTCCACCCGCAGGAAGAAGCAGCTGTCCTCGCGGCAGACGATCGTCGCCGCCCTGCCGGTAACAAGGAGCTCAGGTGGGGTCGCAACTTCAGACGCAACTACAAACTCGGACTCAGGGTCGAGTTGACTGCGAATTGGATTGAATTTATCACCGAAACATGCCGAAACCAATCCCAATCAACTGAGCAATTCTGAAATATCCACTTACAGGAATTAAAAAGAGGCATATCTACCTGCTACACTGAGGCGAGATCCAATCGATATAACTGAGGGCAAATGATTTAGATTCATACCGAGGCCTCAGAACATGTTTACACTTATCCGAACTTCTGCTAACTTAAAATTTGTGCCTGCATCCCTTTTAGCTCTGGGTAGCAACCAGACCTAGAATTAGCTGTAGAATCGCATGCCTTAGGATTGGCTCATACATAGAAAGGAGTTCAGACTCAAAACCTGTAATTGGATGGGAAAACGAACAGGCTGGTTTCGCGAGTATTCTTTATGGCAAACTTCCATGGGCTAAATTGATGTTATTCATGCTTAAAGTTTGCAGCCGCGGGCAGGAGCGGCGCTTTGTTCATTCTGCATCAATTCGAAGTAACTGAACCATGAAACATTGGCTAGTATGTTGTTCTGAACAGACGCTGCCGCTGGCCAGGTCACCGGGCAGCGCCGTAGGGGACACCCGGAGCCCACGGAGCGGCGCCCGTCCGCAACTCGACGGACAGACGTGGGTGTTGGTTGTTGCTGGAGTATGGAGTTTGTGTTTTGTTAGGGGCACAGCTGCTGTGTTTGGAACGCTGGGTCCGCTCTCCGGATGCCTCAGGGATGGAAGGTCAAGTCTTCTTATGGCAGAGATCCGGTTGCAGTCGCCCTTATGTTTACGGTAGACCGATCGAGGCAGCTCTTGACATCACGACACTGGATGGTGCGACCGAGGACTTATTTTGAGCATGTCAACGGGAAACATTGCCAGCTTCTGAGAGTCGTTCCCATTTCTTACATATTCAACATTCCTACGTTTAATGTTTGCTGACAGATCCAACACTCGGTCAGTACTCCTCTTAGGACCCACCGAAGACGTCAGGTCCACCTGGGGGCGTCATTCACGGGCCTCAGACTCACCTGGGGGCGTCATTGGTGGGCGTCAAGTCAAACTCACCTGGGAGCGTCGTTGATGAGCGCCAGGTTACCGAAGTCGTCGCCGTCGCTGAGCGTGGTCACTGTGCCCTTGCCGTGGATGACCACGTTGACTGATCCACGCAAGATGATGTACCAGGACTGGCCCTCGTCGCCCTGATGGAACACTGCCGGCAGGGAAAAGCCCAGTTATCCTCGTGAAGAACAAAAGAGTCTGGGCCTGGAAGGAAAGAATAACTTTCTTCAATGGGTTGGGACGGGCAGAAAAGGAGTGGCTTCATCAGCCGACAACCTGGAGGCGTTGTCAGTATAAAGGAAGTCCCCGATGCTCATAATTTATTGAGAGAACCTTGCAAAATGTATGGAAAGCCTCGATATAATGACTGAGAGTTCCGATAATTTCGAAGCGCGTGTTCTATCATTGGGCCGCATATCATTGGCTGTCATAAGGAATATAGCTCCAGAAATACGTTAAATTTACCTTTGTTTAAGGCGAAGTAAATTCGCGGCAAGGCCTCTTAAGGCCATCCATCGACGCGCTACCTCAATGACCCAGCGTTCCGGACATGACCCCGGTCGACTGGCGCACGTTACTAGTGATCGATGTGCTGAAGCCGCCCCTAAACTGCTCCGTCATTGGACCAATAACGTCCCACCTGTCGACGGGTCTCTTATCGGGGATACGTATGTGTTCCGTGGTCTCCCGGTGGCTGCCAGGGCTTTAGATCGGACTTCGAGGGCCGGGTCGGTTAGGTTAGTCGGTAGGGTGATTTGGAATAGTGACAGCTTGGTGAATACTTGAGTGGTAACTGCAATTAGTAATTGACTGTGCGGGCCGGACAGGGCTGATTCAGAAGACCTCGCCGCTCCATTGATGCACCCGTGATTTATACGGCCGGTATTACATTATTAACCGAGCCATAACACGACTGGCGCCAGGCCCGCTGCCCCAACAATCGATCACCAGACTCGATTACAGCAGCAACCAACGAGCCTCGGACACGAAAACAGCCACCCCAAGGAGCCAGGCCCGTGCCGCGACTTTCAGTAATGTCAAAAGTTACGAGCCGAGCTTTTATTGGAATTTATTGCATTTTGCGCCTCTGTCCTCTCCTTCTCTCTTTCATTTGCTCCCTCTCTCTTTTCCTCTACTCTGACTCTCTCTCCTGCAATCTCCCAGTTTTTTTTTTCTTCGATGTATCTCTCCCTGTACAGTTTTGATCCTATAGCTAAGGACCATAAATGTAAGCCACACCACTGTCGGTTACCAGTAATTCACTATGTGAAAATGATGATTAGGTGAATGTATGTGATGCCAGCTCACGTAACTGCTGTTATCACATAAGATGGATTGTAAACGGCCCGGAGCAAGCACGCATTCTCGGTCATGCATTCCCATAATTACCGTCTAGTTTCATCGTACTCGTAATGTAAGTAGCCTCCATTACCTGAGCAAAAACGTAGTGTGGTGTCTATTCCGGCGTACTACGCCTATTCATATGGTCTTGTCACTAGTGTAGGTGCACATGACCTTTGGCGGGTATGCATATATGTTTCATAAGCGGATGCAAACACGGGAGGCGGAGACCGATAAATTGTGACGATCGTGTTGAGGTGGGACGGAGTCCGCTGGGAAAGTGACAGTCGAGAATACAAGGCGAGGTCGGACGTTATAGTATTCTTGCTGCAATACGTGCAGTGCATCACGATATACGAAACCAAATATCGTGAGAGATGGCGAACGTAAGTTATCGCAACCGCTCCGGCTGCATTTGCTGGTGATTATCCAAAGGAGACGTGCAATAGTGTACTGTGCAAAAGAAATAGAGTGCATGCAGTAATTACGGAAATGAATAGTTATGAATAAAAGCAAAAAGATAACAATGCTGTTATAGATATCAAGACAGCGACCTTATGACCCTCTGACTGCTACTCACAGACGGTCCCGGCCTTGAGATGCGACTCGAACACAATGACGCCGGCCAGCTCGCGTTTCACAGAGTTGGTGAGGTGGGAGAGCGCCCGGATGTGCATCAGCTCTTCGTAGACCATTTCCAGGTCCTCTGCCGTCCGCTGGTTGGACCTGTCCAGTGTCCAGATATATCGCCGGTTATTCATTTGATTTTACGTTTCATCAGGCGGTCATCATATGGGGTAAGGTGCATCTAAACTAGGTACAAACGTACATACACTCAAGTAAACTCAGCTCAGCAACTGCGTTTCAAACGAGAGTCGTCAAAGATGCACAAGCCACCAACGTCATAATAGATCAGTCACAGTTAATGCAGAATGAACAGAAGTCATTCATAATGTGCACAGTATGGACAGGTTCCACTCACGGTTTTTGCAGTAATGACACAGGGGCCGTATTCACGTCGATCATTTTCGTAAGAATTTTCTTAAGTTTGACCTACTTCTTAAGTTAATTTTTTAATCACGTGCCACTCCGTCGATAAAAACTTGAGAAGTGTCGACGTGAATACCAAATTATACTTACGAAAGAAAATCGACTTACGAAGTCGACGTGAATACGGCCCCAGGTTGCAGGCTGTAGAGTCCACTCACGGTTTTCGCAGTATGAGTCGGATCAGGGCGTCGGGTGCGCGTCTCTGCAGGTTGGCCAGCGCCGAGGGCAGGCGCGCCTCGGCCTCTCGCCGCTCCGAGGAAGTGGGGTTCATCGAGCCCATCACATCTACGTCGTCTCGGAACCGGTAGAAGAGGTACTTGTCGCGGAACGGGTGCTCCCGGGTCACTGCAGGAGAGGGGGGAGGGGTCAGAAGCGTCCCTAAACAGGGACTACAGGAGGACACGTAGTCCCTCCTGTAGTCCCTGGATAGTCGGTAGAAAGCTACAGTTCACAGAGGAGTGTCAAAAAAGCTTATCACAAATGGCGTTTCAATCTCTCCCAAAAGGGCTCAGATTGAAAAATGTCGCTTCCCCTTTCGCACGTAAAAAAGAGACGCGTCGGTTGCATACGCGTCATAACCCATACCCGAGTCATAACATGTACCCATGAGGTTCAGCGGGTCACAGTAACGTGAGGTGACTGTATGTCCCAATGCCCCTTCTGATCGTTTCCTCGGGCATCCCCAGCACCAATACATCAGCAGCGCCATTGGCCGGCCCTCGGGCGGTGCAGATGGCACATGGCCGTGAACTATTCAGTCCCTGTGTGGCCACGAACCAGCAATAAAACAACCAAACGAGCGACGAGCACGGCGTCTGCCAGTTACGACGGAGAGACATGGTCTGGCCTCGGGACCAGTCGAGCCCCACTGCCCTCCCAGGGCGTCCCCTGGCATCCCCTGGTGTCGCTCAGCTACCTATGGATAATTTCGTCAACCCTACATATTCAAGAAGCCACATTAGCGTAACCAAAGTGATCAGGGAGTCAACTTAGCGGGTAACTTAATATTGCATCATCAATTCCGATCTGCATAAGCCACGGCAAACAGTGCGCTCCCAACGGCGCTTAGCATTACGAGAGAATTGAGAAACCAACAGAGATAAAAAATAAAAAACGAGGAAGAGCGAGAGGATAAGAGAAGAGAGAGAGAGAGAGAGAGAGAGAGAGAGAGAGAGAGAGAGAGAGAGAGAGAGAGAGAGAGAGAGAGAGAGAGAGAGAGAGAGAGAGAGAGAGAGAGAGAGAGAGAGAGAGAGAGAGAGAGAGAGAGAGAGAGACAGACAGACAGAGACAGAGACAGAGACAGAGACAGAGACAGAGACAGAGACAGAGACAGAGACAGAGACAGAGACAGAGACAGAGACAGAGACAGAGACAGAGACAGAGACAGAGACAGAGAGACAGAGAGGAAAAAGAGAAAAGAACGGAGGACCGGCACCGGTCGGCCCCTGTTCGTGCTGTCGGGCAGCTCACCGTGTGAGATGAGTCCCTCCTCGAGCATGACCTGCCAGACAGCGGTCGCCTGCTGCCGGCTGCGGACGCCTGCCGACAGCTGCATCAGCCAGTCGACCATCTCGGTACCGACCATACAGCGTCGGAAGGTGTGCAGCCGGTACTTTCTGTCTCGCACCAGCTGCGGACAGCGGACCAGCAGCAGGGTGCGCAGCGTGCGGCCGACCTCCACCAGCTCCTCACAGGGCTCCTTTAGGAGGGGGGGGGGGGGAGAGGAGGTGAGACCAGCAGCGTGTGCCCCACCTCCACCAGCTCCTCACTGGGCTCCTGTAGGTTAGAGGGGAGGGGGGAGGTCAGACCAGCAGTGTGCGTCCGACCTCCACCAGCTCCTCACTGGCCTCCTGTAGGTTAGAAGGGGGAGGGAAGGGAGTGCAAACAAACAATCAGCAAAGAGTGTCGTCATGGGTTCAGTCCAGGCTAGATACAGTGTCACTCCATATTCAGGCGCTACATTTGCCTACGCTACAATTTCGCCAGCCATTTTCACTAATTGTATTCCGGTTTTCGCTTTCAACTTAAATGCAGCTGGGCGAAATGCATCTCTTTCAACAGTACTTACCGCTTCCTAAGTGAAGCCAGGTATTCCACGGAAAAAGCTGCTACATTATTCACGGTCACCTTGAACTCGTGTTTGGAGCGGAGAAGACCGACAACTTGTTCAGAGACTTGGACAATAGCACAACTTGGCGCCTGTGTAAATTGGAGAGGCTGAACACTTCAGCTTCAAGGGGCTCATTTCGACACGGCACGGCTCGTGGGTCGGCCCCGTTCCACGCGCAGCGTCCAAGTTGAGACGGGCAGCAGTCGGCCCTGAACCACTCGTCTGATAGACGCAATAGCTTATGATCTCTGCAAACTATTCTTTTCTACTGAAAGAGAATGTACCCAAAGTCTCACTTACTACTTACTTATCACTTTTGTGAGCTAATCGATCTCACTCCATTCAAAATATAACTTCTAATTATGTTCTTTAATGACGATACTTATAAAAACTGAAGCTAAAACGTTTGCATCATTTGAACCCTGGGTGCACTACATTATCAGAAATATTGCAACTAATAGTTTCATGTAACATCCGGACAGACCAGAAAAGACCATTTAGAGCTCAATGGGTGGGTAGTGGACTAATGTCAATGTGTAATACCAACCAATGGGTTTAAAGCGACGGAAATTAAATTAGAATAACACCATCAGCACTGAGAGCACTGAAGACGACAATGAGATTTGTCTATTGGTGCAGCTGAAATGGACTGAAGTTTTGCGACTTGCACCAAGGAAAAATACAGGCGTCGTCCTAAGGTGCATTGTTTATGCTCGATGACTTTGTACGGTGTGCTATTCTTTTAGAGCCGTATCTCAACGATGAAGATTGCCGTCTTAACGTTTTAATGACGACACCGAAAAAAATACGAGTATGAAGCAAGTAACAATAATAAAAAAAATCGCAAAAGGCGCAAGCTAAATTATGCGGCAACTAGTTGAACTTGAATTAACCCGCGCCCCACTGGGGGGGGGGGGCTATTTATAGCCCCCCCTCCCGTTTTTCTGCAATAACTTCCAAACCGCTTGACGTATCGACGCCAAACTTTCAGTACCTTCGGATGCATCAATTTGACACCTTGTGTCAAAATTTCAACTTCGTACCTACCATAGGTCGGCCGGAAATGACGTCAGAGTGACGTCATGTTCGGCCGATTTCGACGCAAAACATTGAACCACGGCAATCGCTCCCAAGAGCTAAGTTTTTAAGCTAGATCCAATTTCTTTGCATGAGAGGACTCAGAATAGACTGCGCTATCAAACTGCTATCTCGGATTGTCGAAATTTTGAAAATTCCGAAAATTTTATATAATAAAATTCAAAATTTATATTTTTACATTTTTTTCAAACATTTTTTGACTTTTCGAAAAAAACCGGAATATATGTGATAGAACACATTATTATGACTAACTCTAGAAGTTTTAGCTAAATATCTTCAAAAATGGCCAAGTTATAAGCATTATCGCAAAAAAATTAACAATTATTAATTTTTCAAATCAATTTTTCAGCACGAATTTGACATCGTACGCCAATATAAATAGCACCATGGTGTTCCTGAGCTCAAACTGCATCCAATAGACACATTTTTTGTTGAAAAATTTTAACTTCAAAATTTGACCTTTTTTGACCTGAAAGTGACCTGACCTAAGCTAAATTTGACTCAAAATGACCTCGAATGACACAGACGACATCAAATTCGAAATGTTTGGCCTAAATGGACCATAAAACATGTGTCACGTGACCGACGGATGATATAATATTTTCGTGACCTGTGATGACCCGACCTTGACCTGAAAATCAAAGTACAAGTTTGTTACCCTCAGAGTATCTAGAGCATCTGTTCATGAGTGTGTGAACCAAAAATGAGCCTGATCTGACTTGTAAGACGGCGGCCAGAGCCCAAAACGTGAAGAAGCCAAAATGCTAATAATTTTTACTTTGACCTGACCTGTGACGTCATCGGTGACCTCGAGGTCAATGAAATTAGGTTTCGCTCGACAGTTTTGCCGGGACTATCAGACGCCGTTTGAATTTTGACGATCGGCCCAGTAGTTTCGGAGTTAGGAGGGGGGGGGGGGCTATGAATAGCCCCCCCCCCCCCCCCAGTAGGGCGTGTTATACGCAGACCCCAGTGGGGCGCGGGTTAAATCGAATTCACTGACGACACGTACCAGCGTCATGTGCAGCTCATTCAGTGAAATGCTGCTCACTCATCTGCTCAGTTGTTCACCCATCTGAACAGGCGGCTGTTCAGCCTGACACCGAGCTCGACCAGCTGCTGTTCACTCACCTGTACCAGCGGCTGAGCGGCCAGCAGTGAGTGCGGCAGCTTCGGACGGGGAACGGTCTCCTCAGGACTGGGCGTTAGCGAGCGCCGCGGGCTCAGACAGGGCTCTGGCGCCTGGCCCTCCCCCTCCGGGCGCTGGTTGTCCCTCTCCGGGCGCTGGTTGTCCCTCTCCGGGCGATGGCTGCCCCTCTCCGGGAGCTGGTGGTCCCTCTCCGTGCGATGGGCGTTCTTCTCCGGGCCTTGACTGCTTCTCTCTGACCCCTGACTGTCTCTCCTCTCCTGGCCATTGCTGTCTCTTTCCGGCTCGTGACTGTTTCTCCGAGAACCCTGGCCATCCCTCTGAGGACCCAGTCCGTTCCTTTGGAGATTCTGGCCGTCCTTCTGGGGACTCTGATCGTCCTTCTCTGAGCCCTGACCGTTCCTCTCCGGCGGCGACGGGCAGTCCGGCTCCGGTTCCGGCTCCGGCGACTGGCTGAGGCCGTCGGCCGGCTCCCGCGGCTGGTGGATCGGCGGCGGCTCAGACCGCAGACCGTTCCCGTTGGTGTCTGCCCCTGTCGGAGGGTCGCGAGGTCTCGCTGAGCTCGGTCGGACCGTCGGAGGACTCTGACGGGATGTCGGCAGGCTGCAGCTGGCGAGGGACGCCCGCCGCTGGTCGCGCTGCTCCCGGTGCGGAGCCTCCAGCGAGGGGTCGGCGTAGTGGCGGGATCCCGGACTGGGGCTCGGGGAGCGCGGCAGCTGCCGGCGGCGCGGCGGGCTCGGCTGCGGGCTCGGGGAACGGGCTCGCGCGCGTCTCGCCGCCGGAGTGCCGTGACACGAGGAGCAGGGCGACACCAGCTCACGGCCCGAGATGCGGGGAGAGGAGGTGCGCCGGGGCCCGGGCGAGCTGCCGCCGCTGGAGTGCCGCTCATCCAGCGCCGAGCCGCCGCCCGTGATCACTGGAACACAGACAGGATACCCGCCGTCAGTAAAAGCAGAGAGTAAATACGGCATAATGTAGGCGCTCAGAAGTCTTAAAAGCTTTCCGTTTCATCCGGTTCGTTGCTAAAATTGGCGCAAATGTTAAACAAACTTTACCACTGAGATTCAGAGTTCTGTATACTTTATCTAACGTTCGAGCTGCTAGCATTTCACTAGCAAGCGGAGTCTTCCACATCGTGGACACTTATTGGCACAGGTGGAGCGTACTAGCATCAAACTTTCCAAAGATGTGAGTGCCGCTATGCCAAACTAATTTACTGACACAACACACCACATTTTGCATACGAGTACTGCGGTTAGCAATAGGCAATCTCAGAATGGAAGCGGAACCCGGCTCACGGCACGATCTTCCAGGTAAGCTCTGTCGCACGTCTTTGTCGCACGTCACTTCGACAATCGATACGTCCAGAATCGAAGTGTCATCGAACCCGACGCAATACAGCATATGGGTGCCGAATGTGTCTGATTCTCTGCCGCGAGCGGCGGCGCGCAGGCAGTCGTCGCGGCAGAGCGAGCACGGAGAGAGGGCCGACAGTCGAGTGGGGACAGGCGGACAGTCGAGTGGGGACAGGCGGACAGTCGAGTGGGGACAGGCGGACAGTCGAGTGAGGAGAGCGGGCCGACAGTCGAGTGAGGAGAGCGGGCCGACAGTCGAGTGGGGAGAGCGGGCCGACAGTCGAGTGGGGACAGGCGGACAGTCGAGTGGGGACATCATGAGACATATCCGGGTGTGTGCTCTGGTCTGTGATACGACCGGTCACCGGCGGCAGCTGCCGACCGCTGCGGCCCACACCTGCAACCAGTTACAACATACGCAACCGCCCCGCTCGTCCCGGGTCGGGACGCAGGAAAGCGCGATGGGAAGCGGGTAGAAATAAAATGCCTTGGGGTATCTCGATAGTATAGGAAAGTTTAGGGTGGAGGTGCGAAAGAATACACTCGCATAAGAACGTATCGTCTAAGCTTTGAGAAATCTAGAGGTTTTATTAAATAGCAGAGGCAGGTCAACTTCCTTTCAACTGTTAGATGGCGTGGTCTCATTTCTGGCTCTGCTTGTCGAAATACCTACTCGTCGTTCACCGTATCGTAAATGCGAAGAGGAATGCGCCAGGATTTGTTTTCGACTCGAGATCTGACGGAAACATTACACCCGGTGACAGTGTGCTCGACAAACAGGGTGAAAGGACGATATATTGCATCCCGGACGATATCAACACTGAGAACAAAAACAGGAGAACCGATGGATGTTTCATTATAGCCCACCCAGTGTCACGCATTTGTCATATTTTTCATTAAGGCCTGGCTACACTATGCGTTTTCTTCGTGCGTTTTTTGCGTGTTTGCGTGTTTTGCGTGATATCGTTCTAGAAAAAGGAACGATATTACGTTTTTGTGATGTTTTTACCCTAAATTTTAGTTACATAAGAGTTATATTAGCTTTTGTATATAACCAAAGTAAAAATTATATTGTTTATAACTTTTTTCCTAGAACGATATTACGCAAAACACGCAAACCTGCAAAAACGAACGCAGAAAACGCATAGTGTAGCCAGGCCTTTACGCTTTGGAATACAATTTCATTATACGTTAGTGTGAAGCGTACACGAGTAAAAAGCAAGGGATGAAACAAAATGTCCCATCGAGTTTGAAATATATTTGTCATCTCGACAAAAACATTTATTTCCTGAAAAGCAATTATGCATTAGCTCAGATGCATTATGCGCACCAGTACCTCTGAGCCGTGTTTCTGACAGGCTGGCAACAACATGTTTTATCTAGCCTTCTCGGGATTTAAATAGAATGCTTGTGAAATGTTGCAGCTGTCACTGAGATTACAACGCCTCCTCAGTGCGTGTTTGTTCCGGTTATCTCGACTACAAACGCTGTAAATATAGGCATGCACGTTGCATATCTGCAGGCGACATGCCATCAGCTACCAGTGACTGCGAAATAAAAGTCGAGACACCTTACTCCATCAAGCCCAACCAACCCCAAACAGCCAGCTTCGCAATGTGCGCGGTTCTTCACCTTTTACTCGCGCGCCTTCCAGCACCTTCGGGCATCGGTCCCATTCCCATCGGAACGGTCACACGACTTTGGCAAGGCCGTCGGTTGCCGCCTTTCGACGCGGTGACGGGCGCGTATTTACAAATTGCAACCGAGCTCCGCCGTAGGGTATTTTATTTCCGCCGTAGTGTATTTCACTTGGGGGATTTTCTACCATACATCTGCCTGAGCTTAGGGTAATTACAATTTGTCGGCGACGTTCGAAAATGATGCACCTTTTTTCGCAGTATAGGATATCGCATGTGCATATTTCTGCCTTTTTGGGTGCGCTTTATCGGTTTTTCGTGAGTAACTCGCGTAAAAACCGTCCGATCGCGACGAAACTTTCAATACCCCCGATTTTATCAATTTTACACCTACCCTGAAAATTTCATGACCCTGACCCAAATGACCTTTGACCTGTAACTTCTCGAGACCATGTTTGGCCCCAATCGCGATTCGGCGTATGTCGGCTCGCATTAGCCGCGCGGTTGCAGTTTTCACGTGGTTTCAAGCGTTGAAACATGTGATATGATGCTGGTCCCATGCATTAGGGTGGGTGTCAAGGTCACCTGAAGGTCAGGTCAGCTCAATGACCTTTGATGACCTCGGTTCACTTTTTCGAGTTTTACATGTTTCTAGGCTAGTTTTTGGAGCTGATTTCGAATTTAGCAACCATTTGAACATCACAGCGGGTGTAACGAAATTATCCAGACACCTTTCTTCCCGCTGTAAAAGCAAAACAATCTGGTACTTTTTCTTTTAACTGAGCTTGTAGCCACCTTTCATAAAAACACAGTTTACTCACCTCGTTGGTTTCTGCATATCTTTGGAGTGGTTTTTGTCAAAGGACAGTCAGAGAGGAAATGAGGAACCCACACAGTGGCGAATGTTCTGGAGCATTTCAACCAATGGATTCTCCAGCACACTGGCTTTGATGCGGACCAACGCCGTCTAAACCTGTGCCTGCGGTTGAGCAGTGCTTATGGCGGGTGGCTCTTCATACACCTCCTGCAGCCTGCTGAACAAGAGCCCACAGGTTTTCGATTGAATTGGGATCGCGACTTTTTCCAAGTCATAAGCGTTAGCCCAGAATGATTGAAGGTTCTATCGGCATCACTTCCCGTTCTTTTAGGGACTTTTAACCCGCGCACCGATGGGGGGGGGCGGATATCCGCCCCCCCTGAGGTTTTTCGCGAATAGCGGGAAAACCGCGGCGCGTAGCGCCGCGAAATTTGGTATGACTATAACCTCATCAATTTTACACATGGTGTGCAAGTTTGAACCTCCTACCTTTCAAGGTCAGGTCACCAGGTCACTTTGAATGACCCAACCTCAAGTCACTTTTTTGCAACTTTGTCACCGTGCCAGAGCTACAGTAGATGTCGGAGGCCTTTGAAAGTCGCAGGATATTATTAGGTCATTAGTAGCTACAATTTGTATATCTCGGAATTTTGATATCGGTGACCTAAGGTCAGGTCAATTTCGCGACCTCCCCATTATAAGTCAATGGGGGAAAAATCAACTCCCTGTTTTTACCACTAAAACGGGTCGGAGTGGCCCCATATACCATACATGACTTCATATACGATCAACCTTCACTACCTTGAGGTCTGTTTTGCTGTTGGGCAGCTGTGAGGTCATGTGACGTCATCAAAGGTCACCAAAGGTTTTTGGCCAATAACTCCGTACAGGAACAAGATACAGACGCGTGGATGGTCTCATTGTGTTCAGCTCGTCAAGACGCATCGAATGATATACATGATGACCTCGAGGCCACGTGACCTGAGGTCAACCTTTGACCTTGACCTTTCGAGGTCAACATATATATCATTCGATGCGGATTGACGAGAGGATCACGATGATGCCCTTAGTTTATTCCTATCTTGACTAATTCGAAAGTTATTCGAGAAAAACTCTCTCCATATCTAGCGCCGCCATTTTGACTTTTTCGACCCCTGTGACGTCATCTTTGACCTGACCTGAAAATGACCTTAGTAAAAATTGTAGATCTTGGCCGTGCGTATCCGATGCCGTTTACCGCTTGTCGCTATCTTGCTTCGTTCTCGAGATCTCAGGGGGGGGGCGGTCATCCGCCCCCCCCCCCCCGTCGGTGCGAAGTTGGCGCAGACCCCCGTCGGTGCGCGGGTTAAGTAGCGCGCCGCCACGCATGAAGACAGCGTGGCTTGAATCAGGCATCAGTGCGCGTTCAGAAACCGTGCCCTCCTATGCCGTCTGGTTGAGCGCCTCCAATCATGCTCCACCACCTTCCCTGGAAAAGCTCCACCCTTGCCTATGGGGCAAAATATAAGGGACAAAAACACAAAACAAGACAGATAAAAACAAAGCAAAATTAACTCATTACCTAATGAAATTCAGGCTGGAGCAAAAACATAGGTAATAGGTTATGTCAAATTAGAATGAAAGATTAAAATCAACCTGACCAGGCCTTATGGTCCGACCGGGTCCTAACCACCTTACTTCGCCTAACTTGACCCAGTTCAACCTAGCCTACCACAACACCTGCAGAGTGCAGAGGTACACTCGGGGGCAGATTGATGTTCCACCACTCCCTACCTATCGGGCTCCCATGGCTCAGCACTGGCTGCTGCCAGTGTTGCCTGCCCTCAGCACTGCTCAGCACTGCCTGCCAGTGCCAGTGCTGCCACATGCTGCCACTGGCAGCAGCCAGTGCTGAGCCATGGGAGCCCGATGGGTAGGGAGTGGTGGAACATCAATCTGCCCCCGAGTGTACCTTCCTGGAAAAATGACGCCCAGGGAGATGACTGTCCAACTTATTGAAATACTACCATGATTGCTTGTCAAAATGTGTGTCATCATGCTCTTGTTTGACAAGTGATGTATAATAAATGTGATATTCAATAATTACTCCTGACTGTTGACTGTTGAG